TCTGGTTATTATAATGTGGATGAGAATATCTTTGTAATCAATATTTTTTGGCACTTCAGTTTCAATTCCTTCCTGCTTTTTTACCACCATAAGAAACTTTGTCCCATTCTGTTCTCAACAACTTCTGAAATTTTTTGTATGGGATGCAACTTGCAAGGTAAAACAAGGTGACTTAGGCCTAAGTTGCACTGAACAAATTTTGGAACTATCATATTGGAACTTAGGACTATCTTTTTTCAATATTTTGGGGTTTTTAGTCATGCTCTACAAGGTGGTTGTCTTGAAATCCTGAATTTCTCAATAATAAAAATTTTAGCTGGACTTAGGCCCATTCTGTTCTTAAATATTTTAGGCCTAAGTCCAGCTAAAATTTCAAGACCATGTTATTCATGTGTGTTCTTGTCAATAATGTGGCTCTTCGCGGTATCAAAGTACGAAATGCGGCTTTTGAGGCCTGACTAGCCGGCCGTGGGCGATGATCGCACACGAGAGGATTGCCGCGGGCCAGATTCAGCCCTCTACGCTTCACTGAATTATAGTGACAAAACGGCGGTTTTAACGATGAATTAATTTTATATAATAATACCCTCGAAGAGTAGATTATATTTTTTACGTGACAGAATTTATCGTGAGACACGCTTAGAGTGTCACATTAAATGTCAATTGTAATTTTTTTTAAGTTGAGTTCACGAATTGTCGCAGTCTAAGCGCGCTGTTCCGTTTTTAACTTTCATCTGAAACAAATAACTGGCTGATTAATTCTGTGGACTGGTAACCGGACTGGAGGCCGTGGTACATGATGATGAATCGAAGATGAATTTTACCGAGGATCGTTATGATGTATTATGGTGCAGGTCATCGGGCAAGTACCCGTCAATTTCTGAGAAGGTAGAACCTTTGATTCTTTCATTTCCGACCTCTTATATGGTGGAAAAGAGGTTTTCAGCCGTTGCACTATTGCTATCAAAACAACGAAACCGCCTTTCCATCTGTAAACGGGGTGATTTGACATCGTGCCTGGCGAAAATGTGGCTAAATATTAAAAACTTGCCGGAGACCACCAGGCTCATTCATCTCATTAAAAAACACTATGAACTATGATTTGTCTTCTTGTTTATTTGGTCTGTAATATATTCGTTTCTGACTTTACATTTTTTGTAGTGCCGGGGGGCGATGAAGTTGTATAAATTACTGTAGGGGGGCGATGGTACAAAAAAGTGGAATGGCCTTATTACGTCACTGCGACTTCACAGTGATTTAATTTTCGGATGACCTAGTCAGGTGGGAGTGAGGAATGACATATGCAAAATTGTTGAACCAGGCCAACTAGAAGTACTTTAGGTACGAAACTACACTAGACTCCAAAAAGAGACCCTACCCCAACAACAACAATCACCTTAACAAGAAGAATTTTGCAAAACAATCCATGTGCACAATACAAATTTCCACATTGGCGGGTTCGATAGGTATCAGCACTGAAGACAAACAAACTAAGAAGTTGTGAAGAAAGCGATCATGCCGTCCGCACATAAAGGTCCGGGGGGAATCCCCTGGTGGCTAACGATCGAAAATTCAAAGATCTAAAATAACCACAAGTGGATTATACAATACATAAATAGCCGTTATAACTGTCTTTTTTTATTTCGCCGATGTGTCTATTATAAGTATTGCTTCATTTGCCCAAAGTGACTTCAGGAAGTGGAATGAATTTTAGCCGAAGCGGAGATTAAATTTCTTCTAAGCTGTACCAAATCGCTCAACCTTAAAAGCTATACAAAAGCGTAAAAGAATAAGATTACAATTTTTTCAAATGCGCGGTTTTCGGAGTTTTTGTGATTTAACTGAAGAATTCGAAAGTTCCTATATTTTAAACTTACTATAAAAAAGTGAAGGCCCGATAATATCCATAAAGGTTCCCCGTAATATGCAAATGACTGAGGATACCTTAGCCGCGGTCTGGATGGTATTACAAAGTCTCCATTTTCGTTATGCAAATTCGATTTTTTTTAGCAAAAGATCAAAAATATAACACCACAAGGTGCATTATTATACAACCTTTCCGTTGAAGAATTTTCTAAACATGTTGGACACCATAATAAGGGCAAATATCAACAGCAGTAAATTGAATTGGATATTTTGCTTTTGCGTACCCAGGCGTGTTTTATGATTATTCGTAGATCCTATCGATACGATATAATAGCAACGAATTAACTAGTTTATTCACATCAAATAAATGGCACCATTCTCGGAGAATTTAACAAAATAAAATGCTTGAACTAATAAAATAACAAATGGTGCAATGTTGACATATAATGGAAATCCTACTCATAGTGTTGACAATACAAACATTTCGTGAATATGCTATTTGCCACCCGGGAAAGCGACAGTCAAAAGATATCGGGGAATCCCAGAGTGGATTTGGTCGACTTTAAATACTGTTTGAACCTTGACGAGAGAGGTTATCCCAAGATATCTCGACACGCGAAATGTCAATATTATGGGTTATATATTGCACTGAGACAACACGTTTTTTACATTAATTTTTTTTCCTAAGAACGCTTTTAAACATTGCTAATATGAGAGTTGTTAAATTTCTTGTTCTTGAACATTTTTCTCAATTTTTCCCATATCTGCGCGTTATTACAAATCATTGTATTAAAATGCTCAAAGCCGTCTGTACGTACACACTAGAGCAGAAAACGCACTCAAAATATTTAATTTTTATTTTTGAAAAATATGACGTTAGGGATTCGACAAACTTTGAACAACCCCGCTGTTTAGTAGATAATGTGGCACTATACAAATAATCAATTTCAGGTTCCGGTACCTATCGTAAAGATACCGAAGTTTATTTTGCTTACACGTAGGGATATTTTGTGCAAAAAAATGTCTTTCAAAGCCCTCGCTAAAAAAATACCCGCCACCAGTCAAAATAAAAAAAATCAGTAATTATCCAGTTAGGGTTATAAATACAGATTGCCCTGAAAATTCAAATCATTTTTGACCCCAAATGTATGGATAGTTACGAATTTTAAAACGTGGCGTGTGTGTTTTTCTCAATCTCCCATTTTTCATTAGTAGCGGGGGATTTGTACCAAATATTCGTCTTTCAGTTTAGAAAACATGAAAAATACATCCGCCTGAACACGATTATCAGCCCATGCAAGGTTGCGTCTCAAATTTCTTCGTCTACGCCCCACTGAATATTCGGTATTTAAAGAAATAGAAAAAATAAGAGCATTACTAACATATATGTCTCCAAAGTTCAATACGCAAAATGAGTTATAACTGCTCGTTCAAAATATAATTTAATTGTTTGCTTTGAAAAAATTAAGGCCATTGGAATTTTTAAAAGATTTATATTGGATCTATCCAACCGACATATTACATCATTCTACAGGCACGAACAAACTGTCTGCGTTCAGATTTGACTTGTACTAAATGTTCTCAAACTGCCTTTGTCAATTTACGTCAGCGGATTTTAGGTCTCAGGCAGTCGCGCATGACATTTTTTCTAAGTTAGCCCTAAAATTTATAAAGGGTTTAGTTGATACAGTGTGTGTATAGAAGTTACGAGTACTTAATTTTGGAACCTTTCGAGTTTGTATTTAATGAGTAGTGAAAACAGGTGATTGGAACTTCTGGGGTGGAAGCTTTTTGAATAGAAATTTAGAAAGATATGATCAAATACTAGACGTCATGTAGTAGTTTAATGGCCGCAAAATTACAATCATAAATGGCCGTAAAACTGCATTAATAATATAAAACAATCATTTTTAACACTTTATTTAACATTTATTTCAATTCAAAGCTACGATAGTCAGCTTTTGAAATCGTGACATGGCTTCGTTAGCTAAATAGATGCCGCCAGGTTTTTGCGCCGTGAAAATTTCCACATATATTTGATCAAGACTTGAATATTAAATAAAAAATTAACAAATAAATTACTAGAAAATGAAATCAGCGACTTTCAGGATTTCGTTGAATAAACAATCTAAGAGGGTTTTTAAGCGACCCCGTTTTTGGTCGCGACAAATGGGTTCGGAAACATATTTTAGAGTATGCATATGCAGTGAAATTCTTGGCAGAATAATAGTTTGTCCGTTCTGAAAATAAAACAACAAAAATATTGATGAACCGTAAATTGTGTAAACAACAATTTATTGACTCATTAGTTTCTCCATAATAGTATATTTAACTTCCTCAATAATGTATTCACGAATCCAACTATAATGATTCGTCATCCACACGCCATGTCAGGGCCCCCGGAGGGGTTTTCTCGCTATGCTTGATATGATGTCTGTGCCAGTTATATAAAAAAAAGCTATAATATCTGTTATGAAAAAACTGTTGCAATTGTAAATGTGAGATAGTAACATTTTATTATGGCTTAGTTGGATTAGGGGCAAAAGACAGAAAATGATAAACTTTTGGGGTGAGCAGTACTCCCCCGCTGTTATTTGAAGTCTCGTGCTTCATTTTACAGTCCATTGCTCTAATATTTGGCTAGACAGGTGAGCTATAGTTTGTAAATATTGCCTTGTAAAATAACTTCTATTGAATTGTAATAAACTCATTTTGCAAGTTTGCGAAAAGCGTACCGCATACTGATCTATAGAACATAATGTTTAAATTGATAACTGTGTTTATATACAATTTTTCAATATTGCTTTATATTTTTGTTAATGTTGATATTATTTGTAAATATATATCCTTTTACAATAATATGTTTATATTATATAAGGTTACGAGAAGATCAGGACAATGTAGACCTAATAGTACGGGATGTAAAGGGTATAGGCTACAATGTAAGTGTAGGCTACGGGAGATCACGACGCCAAACCACATCTTGTTCTGGCCGTGATATACTTTTTTTTTAAAAATACATATTTACTATTTTAAACAAATTATCCCCATATATATTATATTTTTCTGAGTTCACTTTGATATTTATTTACAGTATATATATACTAACGGCTTAGATAGCATGTGGTAACTCGAACAACATGTTTTCGAAAGTGCTACGACCATGGCATAAAAAAGGTGAGTTTAAGAATAAGATTTACATTGTTATCCCAGGAGAGAGGAAAGTGATAATACGGTCTAATCGTATAGTGAACCACGGCCCCTCGTCCGGTTACCATGTCAGGTATGCGATTAATTAGTCAGTTATTTGCTTTCACAATGCTGAACTTGATGGTGGGAAAAGCCGTAACCGACCAGCGGTTACGTGAACCACCCTGCGGCGGCAGGGAGTCCAGCAACCCTCTTGCACATAACTTACCCGGCATGGGATTCAAACTGGCCAACCCACGCAGTGTAATCAGAGGTGTGGTGGCTAGCGTATTTTTAACGCTTTACTTTACACCAGGGTTGTCCAACCTTTTTGAACAAAGGGCCACATTTAGTCAACGAATGATTGCGCGGGCCACTTGACATGGTAGTTATGTTCTAGTTTTTACTACACCTACAGATCAATGAAAAAACAAACAAAGCAGCTAAATTATAAGAACAATAGAAATACGAAAATAAAGTAAAGTCAAAAGTTATAATCACACACATATATATTTCAATGAAAAGTATGGCACCGCCATACAACATGTTTGTCAATAGCAGGTACAATGGACGATGTAGCAATGCAGAGCGGACTTTTCACGTGGCTGTCAGAAATTAGTGTCTCACGGGGGATTTTACATTGTTCATCCTTGAAAAAACTTGCTAGTAAATGCTGTCAAATATTGAGGTCATAAAACTGCCTCTTCTAGCTTCACAGGAAAACAGATTGAAATACATGGCAGACGATAAAAATAAATCCAAACATGTCTCACTAGCAATAACAAGAACAACTGGACATAAAAGAAGCTTTCGATAGCTAGATGGTGCTTCTCGCGCGTTTGAACGACAATTTTTTTTAATTGAGGTTTCATTAGTGGCTCAGATTTGTGAAAGATATTGGGATTCGAATAATGCCTCGCGGGACACTCGGAAACCTCCGGCGGGCCACATGTGACCTGCGGGCCACGGGTTGGAGGACCCTGCTTTACACTATGCGCCACACCGCCAATCCAAAAAGAGTATATTAATAAAACAATTTGGATGTTCAAGTTTGGGATGTTTATACAAAATCTCTCTCTCTCTCTCTCTCTCTCTCTATATATATATATATATATATTAGAATTACAAATCATATGATTAGCATGAAATGAATCGGTCGTCGGTTCTTATTTTATAAAATAAATTGTAGCCCAGTAAACAGAAGCCAGTGTATTTCATTTACTGTGTAACAGCATTTGGAAGCAGACTCGTACTATTACGAATAAGACAACAGTATTTACATCTTTTATCGTCGGAGTAAAATCATCAACAAATATTTAAAACATTTTCCAGACGAAAGGTTTGTTGTCAAATATCAGATTCTCGCACAGACTTCATATGTGATAGTTGTCTTCTCCTTGGCGGATGTAAGTATTGAATGCCAGCAGTATATTGTCAGTGGATACAAACAGATCGACCATGGGGTTACTAACTACGAAGTTCGATTGCCAAAGAAGTCAACTGCCAACATTGAGTCTATTGATGGCTCAGCAGAAGTCAAGCCCTCCGACGAAAGGCCCATTTTGTACAGGGATCTTAAAAAGCAGAATAGCATCCACTACAAAATAACATTACAGGCGCCTTCTGCTGGTGATCACTTATTACAACTTCGTTTTCGAAGTGGCGACAGTAATATCTTCACACATCCGTTCCATGTGACACTGGAAGAGGAAACGTACACAGGTAAATCATAAAGACAATAGTGATTATTATTATCTTGTTCCACAAGTATATCACAAGAACACACTTTTTTACATAAATACATACAGTACCAGACTCCCGGAGGGCAGAGAGCACGAGTCAAATGTCGCCAAGTGACACCCAAGAACATGTCATCCCCGTAAGGTATCGACCAGGTGAACATACATGTTTTTTTTTTCATTTTTGGCCTATTTTCTATTGGTTACATAACAACCTTGCTTCATGCATGTTGGTATACAAGTAATGATTCCACCAACGATCCGTCGAAAAGCTGTTTGGTAATTCTCGCAGATGTTTTCTTAAGTTCATTCCGCCCTGGCTCAACAAACGATAATTCAATGACGATGAATTATTATGTTGGTTTTAAAAGTTTGGCAGTACTTTATACGAAGAGTCAAATTTTCATTTCAATAGCTCTAAGGTTTGTCGCATAGGTGTCCCGCGAAATTTATATACATACACTGAGGTGCATAAGCGGAATGCCTATAAATCAATTTCGTTATATTAAGTCACAGAAAACAACGTGCGCAGAATATGAAATCAGCAAAACTCATTCCCGCAAATAGCTTTTTGCTAATAGTCTCCAAAGACTTGAACCTTACAGTAGATATTTCATTCGAAAATCGTATCATGTTCACCCTGAATCGATTGACGACGTGTTGTAATTGCATTTCATATCATTTTATTGCGCAGCTACGCTTTGCATTACCAATGGAAGGTTAGGTAATTTAGCCATATTTTATTCGGCTTCTCATTAACTATATATTATAGACAATAAAAAGCGTGATAATGTGTTACATTATTTTTTCAGAAGAAAAATTTTTAGTGAAATATCAGATTCTGTCCAAAGGTCCACTTGTTGTAGTGGTTTATTCATTACAAGACACTGCGCACGCATGTCAGAAGTTCACTGCTAGTGGATATAAGTGCATTGAAAGCGGTGCACGAAACTATGAGGTTCGATTGCCTCGATTTTCAAAATGTATCAGCAGTATCGAGTCTTCTGATCCATCTGTGGAAGTCAGCCCACAATTTGAAATGCCACTTCCGTACACCGACCTGAAAAACCAAACCAGCATCCAGCATAAAGTCACACTACTGACATCTTCTGGTGGTCGTCACCTGCTCAATCTTTGTCTCAAACGTGAAAACGAGATTCTACGCTCAGAACCGTTTCACGTTACATTAGGAGCTGATGATTTGTATGACAGTACTGGTAAGTTAAATTCTTTTACATTTGACAGTGACAGTCGTAGTTCAGCATTTGTTGTCAGTGACAAGATGGGTCATCTTCGAAAACCGCCCGCTGCGTTCCGTGTCAATCAACGTTAATTCTTTAATTATTAACACTGTAACAGGCAACGTTGAGACGAATTAGGTACCGGTACGGTACCGGTAACCGGTAACTACCGAACTTGTGTTTTTTATTATTTCGCCGATCCCAATCAGCTCCACTGACACTGGTCATTTGCATTTCGGCTTTCTTCTTGCCCGGATAAATACTGAAATATGTAAATCTTATTCTTAATTTGCTCTGGAATACCGTTACCGGTATCACACCTCTGCTTACCCTGCATGGGTTCGAATTAAGTGGAAAGTACCGTACGGTACAGTACGGTAATTTTGTTCGCGAGGATTGCTGGACTCTTCGCTGCCGTAGGGTGGTTGATGTAGCTAACCCCGGTCCGTTACGGCTTCCTCGACCATATGCAGATATGGTCCATGCATCTGAGTAATTTAGTACCGGTACCGGTAATTGCAGAACTGGATAACTACCGGTCATCCTGAAATGGAATTTCTATCCCATCCATTGAAAATGTTCCCAACTAAAATGTTAATTCATTTGTTCAGGTGCGAACTTGGCAGCGCGGGACGTTGTATCGAACTTCTTAACAAATGAAGGCGAACCAGGAAGTAGGCAGCCATTGAAATCTGGTGAGAATTTTTTTGAGAACTTCAGCAGACAAAGCTGGCTCCATCCAGCCTTATATGATAGTGAGAATTTGTTTCAGGTATGCAAATCCAAAAACATTGTAAAAATTTCTTTTGAGTATTAGTTTTGGCTCGGTCTTACTACTTACTGAATAGAGTGTGAAGAGCGCAGAAGAGAGGGAAAGAGCGCAGAAGAGATGGAAACATTTTTTTTTCATTATTCATTAGAGTCCATAAAAATTTTAAACAATTTGATGGGAAACAGCATATAGTAGTAGGGAATATGATCGCGAGTTTATATCAGTAATCTTCAACATCTTTAAATAACCCAACATGACGTAATATGAGCACACCAAAAGTGACTATAGTGACTTATAGTCACATTGAGCACACCAAATAAAGAAATTTTGGCGCACAGCCTGAACAAAGTATGTGTACCAGGTTAGGGTGCGTCATTAAGTATGTGCACCAAGATGGCGCACATCCTGAACAAAGTATGTGTACCAGGTTAGGATGCGTCATTAAGTATGTGCACCAAGATGGCGCACAACCTGAACACAGTATGTGTACCAGGTTATGGTGCGTCATGTTTGGTTATTTAAAGATGTTGAAGATTTCTGATATAAACTCGTGATCATTCTCTACCATCGTATACTGTTTTCCATCGAATTGTTTAAAATTTCATGGATGCTAATAAATAATGAAAAAAAAAAGTTTCCATCTCTTCTGCGCTGTTTCGCGCTCATTCCCTCTCTTCTGCGCTTTTCGCGCTCTATTCAGTAAGTAGTAACCCCCGTTTTGGCCTGGTCAGTTTAATACTTTGGATTGAGCTTAAGCTTTTTTGTTAGCAGGGAGCCTGGAAAAATCAATTTTTTATAAGCTTTTCACCCAAGGACGTTAATCCCCACCCTGCCTACCACTTTGGTGTAAGTTTGATGAAATTTGCTCTAATATTTTTTAGAGGAGAAATTTCGGGTCAACTATCAGATTCTCACAAAAGGTGCATGGGTCGTTGTGATTTATTCACTGGCTGAGACCACCGATGAGAGTCACCAGTTTATTTCTGGTGGATATCAATGCATCCAGCATGGTATTTCAAACCATGAGGTTCGATTCCCTCATTGGTCACCATGTACCAGCAGTATTGAGTCAATAGATGGATCAGTAATAATCACACCTGAAGAGGGAAAAAATCTTTCCTACCTCGATCTAAAAAATCAGAAAAGTGTCCATCAATCTGTTGCATTGCTAGCTCAAAGTGGTGGTACTCACCTATTGCATCTTCGTATTAGGAATGGCGATGAAATACTCCATACAGCGCCTTTCCAGGTGATATTGAAGTATGAAGATTTGTATGCAGGTTCGTAAAAAGCAGTATTTGTGAAACTGGTGGTAATTTCATGAGTTTTTGAATATTCTTCAATCTATTTCTGCAGGTGAAAAGACTTCACAACCGCAACCATCAAATACAAATCAAAGGCAAGAGGAAGTTGGAGGTGACAACTTTTTCCTCTATTTGTTCTATTGAGCCTCCCATAGAGGAGTTCAATGCCATCCCTATTTCTATATTAATTGTTCAAGGGGTTAGGTCACTGATGAGATTGCCCAGAAGTGCAAGTGCAGTTTTAGGTGTTTCGTGGCGTCTGAAGCTGCCACAAAACCATGGCGGTATTTCCAAACCATAGCTGCTATGGCCAAACTCATGGCGACTGAATTTTTAGCTGCCACAAACCAATAGTTGACTGCTGTTACCGCGGCATCAAATTGGAAACCAATGGCGGGTAAAATTTTGTTGTCGTAACCGCGGCAGGCCGGCCATAAAGACAGGGCTGCCCCTGATGGTGACAAATATTGGGTAATGTTATGGATAGAGTTTTGATGATTTTGGAGTTAGATTTCAGGTTTAAGTAAACATAATTCCGCATGATAATGTAAAACTGGTACTTAACTTTGTGAATATACAAGTAATAGCACCATAAACCATGGCAAGAGACGCTGCAATTCGTTCATGACAGGAGCTGCGATGAAGGGGTAAGAACTGCGACCCCAAAAGTGGATTATTTCAAATTGTGCTGTATAAAATTTATTTTGTAAAAAAGTCAAAACCAGATAAAAAAACTGTTTAGATTTAATCCTTTTCAAACGCTATTCTACCTACAACCTATGCTTTGTATTACTTAGGCTTTACTCATCTTAAATGTCTACTTTTAGTTCCGACTGCTGATCAGTTCCATGATGATATTGACGACGCATATGAAATCCCGGAGGAAACTCAACCGAAAGGTACAAACGTTGATTTTATCTAGCAGACTTCACTGAAAGTGCTTCAGATGTATCAGTGGCTGTCAGTTTGCATGAGACTTATCAGTCTTGCTAACGATGTCTTAGGTTATATCTGCATTTCACTCTTTTAACAGTTACAGACTATAATATCGCAAAATAATTAAGTGGAAAATTGAAAATTTGATTCTGATAAGGAACTTTGCTTTACGTCGAACTTTCCCATTTACGATGTTTTTATTTTGTATTGATTTAACAACTTAATATTCAGTGCCAGTAGGAGTTATACGAAGGTTTGAAATCGAACAATATGATGAAATACCGCTCAGACAATCTCCGATTACCAGACCCAAGGCTTCAATTTACAATCCTCCACCTTTACCTGTCAACAATTCTCCACCTTTACCAGTGAGACCCGGTGAGTATTGTAATAACAATTTATTTAATAAAATTAGAAATTATTCGTATATGTGATAACTTCCCAAGCACATTTTTTAAAATATTGAGAGTTTGGGTGAGCACATTACTGATAGAGGAATTGAAATGAACCTGCGACATGAATGAAGCACTTCGGGTAAAGATTGGGTGCTCCAGCAGTATGTGCACCAAGATGGCGCACAACCTGAACACAGTATGTGTACCAGTTTAGGGTTCAGGTTGTGCGCCATCTTGGTGCACATACTACGGGAGCGCCAAAGATTGTCAGGCAGAGAAAGGTCATTCTATGAGGCAAAAATTTCAAGATCCTTTTGATATTACGGTTAATGGAATTAAACTTGTCATAGTTACAACACTTTCACCACTGGGCCATGCATCTTGTTGGTGTATTACAAAGGAATGTACAAGGAATTCTATCTGCTATGTGTACTGATCAAAACCAAACCATGGGTTTCATTTTTGGAGCAAATTAGGGAATGGTTATATTTTTTGAAACAAACATCTTTACTGCAACTGCTTAAAAAAAATTTTTCTCATATCAGACGATTTTGATGATGATGAATGGGATGATGATGATAACCTATATGAATATGTGGATGCAGAAAAAAATAGTGAAATCCCGACAGTAACCAGACCTCAATGTACGGTGAATAAGTTCAATTTTTTTATTTTGAAATATAGGGAACAGTGGACACATCCTTGTTCAAACTGCATCTACTTAGTACTGAGGTTAAATGCCAAGTGGTGCCATTGCAACCCTAGTTCGGTACTCCTGAAGTATGTGAACCAAGATGGCGGACAACAGAACGTAGTATGTGTACCAGGTTAGGATTAGGCCATAATTTTATTCCAATTTTACTTATTTTAGTCCTATTACAAGTTCGGGGACTAGCCAAGTGACTCCCATAGTATTTGTACCGGAATATATGGCCTAACTTAACCGAAAGGTACAAATGTTGATTTTATCTACTTCACCAAAAGTGCTGAGATATTTTTCAGTGACTGTCAGTTTCCACGAGACTTTTCAGTCTTGCTAACAATTTGATAGCTTCACCTCTTTAATTAAATTAGTGGCTATGTAATATTTTATCACCAAAATATTGAGCCGTCTAATTTTTTTCTCCTGGTTAAATGTGAAAAATTGGTTTTGGAAATAAATTTTGCTTTGCATTGAACTTTCACATTTTTGGTGGAATTGTTTTTATTTTGTATTAATTTCGAAATTTAATTAATATTCAGTGCCAGTAGGAGTTATACGAAGGCCTCAAATCGAACAATATGATGATATACTACTCAGACAAGCTCCGATTCCTAGAGCTAGGACTTCAATTTACAATTCATCACTTTTTACGAGACTTCGTGAGTATTGCATTAACAATTTACTAAATTTTCATATATGTGTTAATGCCTAAGCACTTGTATGAAAATAATGAGAGAACGGGTGAGCACATTACTGATAGAAGAATTGTAATGAACCTGCAACATATAAATGAAGCATTTCGAATAAAAATTGTCAGGCCAAGAGCTCATAGAAAGACCATTTGGTACTCTCGAAGTATGTGAACCAAGATGGCGGTAGGGATCGACAATATAGAATAATTTACTATTGTAGAATACTTCAATCGAATCCAGAATACCGAATCCTATTCTATATTTATTGTTATTTAAATGTGGGAATTTCTCCTACCATGTTTATGGTTTACTATTAAAAAGCAAAATTGATTACATTTTATTTGTTACCAAACAGGACAATGGAATGAAGAAATTTTAACAAATTACTTTTTGCCTTTAATTGTTCAAAATTTATGTAATCCCTAAATACCAAAATAAATAGCGCATTATACACATAAACACTGAATTATGAAATACAAATAATAGGTATGAAAAAACATAAAATTGATATTAATGTGAGAGTGCCAAAAAGGACCAGACCTAGGCGACTGCAATTTATACGGATGCAACGGGTGCCGCACTCGGAATGGATCATTATCTAATGGTGTAAAATAAATTTAACGTCTATCAAGTACGTCGGCGCGTTTATTTTCTGCGAGCAAGACTCGTAAAATAACATATGTGGACGAATTCATCTCTATTGCAAAATCTTATATTTTCAGTTATACATCGTTATCATGTTATCGTTATACATATATCTAGCCAGAATCGGCGATACGCTTTGTATAATGTCCATCACTAGTTAAGGCCGGAGAACTGTCTTCACTACGTGTGGCAACTGTTTAATTTGTCGTCGCTTAAACTACCGCCGGATACTCGATCAAATGTGTGTCAGGCTTGGACGATAGGAACGGATTCATCAGCACTTGAATGCCGAAAAACATGTATTTTAATGGAAGTGCAACATAACTGTAACGAAAAGCCTTGTTTTGCGTTATGAATTTAGATTTTCGGAAACTGGGCGTTGTAAAAAATAAAATATGATCTAAATTATTCGCAAATAATGTTTTAACATGGAACGTCTGGTAGCCTACCTATTAATATCTGGAAGAACTCGTAGCCGCGAAAAGTCACTTAAATTAAAAATAAAAATGTTTCACATATTCCGAAAATTTAGGGCTATCAGGTAATCGGAAAATCGCTAGTGAGTCGGCACCGATAATGATAGTTATTATTAGCAAATTAGATAGTAAAATTGTAAAACGCAAAAATGATGCGATAGCGCCGTCCTCGCGTTCTGAATATGCAATCTGGTTTTATGTAGTATGTGTACCAGGTTAGGCCATAATTTTATTCCAATTTTCCTTATTTTAGTTCTATCACCAGTTCAGGGACTAGCCAAGTGACTCCGGTAGTATTTGTACCTGAAATTATGGCCTAACCTGGTACACATACTTGAGAAGTACCCATTCTACAGATCATTGTTAAAATTTTAGGGACTGTTAGTTTTGCCATTACAGTTAATAGATAAAAACTAGCCATACATAGGCATACCACTTACCAATAGGCCATGCATCAGGCCAAGAGCTCATAGAAATGCCATTTGTTACTCCTGTAGTATGTGAACCAAGATGGCGGACACTGGAACGTAGTCTATGTACCAGGTTAGGCCATAATTTCAGGTACAAATACTACCGGAGTCACTTGGCTAGTCCCTGAACTGGTGATAGAACTAAAACAGGGAAAATTGGAATAAAATTATGGCAGATTGCATATTCAGAACGCGAGGACGGCGCTATTGCATCATTTTTGCGTTTTACAATTTTACTATCATAATAATTTTATTCCAATTTTCTTTATTTTAGTTCTATTACCAGTTCGGACACCAGCCAAGTGATTTCCCGTAGTATTTGTACCTGAAACTATGGCCTAACCCTAACCTGGTACACAACACATACTATGTACCGGTGTCCGTCATCTTGGTTCACATATTTCGGGAGTTCCCATTCTACAGGGCATTGCTTCTGATTAAAAATTTTGAGAACTGTTAATTTTGCAAGCCAGTGATATTACAGTTAATGGATGTGAATTAGTTATAGTTACGCATAACACTTTCACGAATAGGACATGCATTTTTTAAATTTATTACAGACGCATGAAATTCTATATGTGGGGTGTTCTGATCAGAACATAGGTTCCGTTTTTTGAAACAAACTAAGAAATGAAAACATCTTGACTGGAAATGGCTGAAAAAAAAAATTCTTATTTCAGACGATTTTGATGATGAAGAATGGGATGATGATGAAACTATATTCGAGGATAGGGATGCAGAAAGAAATAGTGAAATGCTGACAGCAACTAGACCGCGATGTACGATGAATCAGTTTAATGTATTTATTTTGAAATATAAGAAACCCCAAACTACATGTAACGGCATACTTCTCAAGGGGGACCTAAGGACATCTGCGCGACCATATAAGAGCTTGTTCAAACTGAATCTACTTGGTTCTAGATTAAACTCAATTAGTGCCTTTTCAACAACCCTAGTTCTATCTTGGCGGTTGGCGAATTGTTTGAAGCTTCACGAAGTACGCTTGCCATCACATCATAATGACTTGTGAAAGAAGTGCTGGACTCTTCGTTGTCACAGAGTGGTTCATGTAACCCTCATGTCAGTTTTGACTTCCCCCGCCCACAAGTCTATGCATCTGAAACAAGTAACTATAACTAATTCCTTACCCAACTTTGTCTCTTACTCAGATTAGAGGTCCTGGTTTGCCATATGATTGAGCGGTTATGCTGTCTCATCAGCTTTCCTATCCCCATCATAAATATGAAAATCCTGAAAAGTTGAAAAATTTATTCTGTATTTTATTATGGTTTGAAGGCAGTGGTTCATCATTGTGCTGGATTATCTTTTCTATTTTCTATCCTGAATCTGAAATCTCAGCATGTAAATCAATTTTTCATACGTTTAGTTCCAAGTCCAGAATTGATACGTCTTGAACAACAGGACACTACTCCTCTGGTTAGCCGCACAGAAAATACAATGCCTTCTCTCTCATTGAAGCCCGGTAAGCATTCTGTATAAAAAAATATAACTGGTAATTTTGTATGATCAATTGCATTGTGGTAGATTATGAAATGTGAAGTCATTTGGTTCATATGGTCACAATTTCGGGACGGGTATGCATATATAAATTCAGTTGTTTCATGACCATGTGTGGCATTTTGCGAACCATCCCCTATAAGTATGCAGTTCGTGGTATTCTTGCACACCATCTCCCCAACTGTGATCAGAAGAAAGACACTTTAGCACAGGGGTTGGCAATATTTTGTCGTCTAACTGGCCAAAATTAAAGGTTGCAAGTCATTGACGGGCCGCACATATTTTTAGAAAGTTAAAAACCGAAGGAATGGCCAATGAATCACATTTTTTCACACAGATTTCAGTTAAATTTCAAGCAGTGCACGAAGACTGATCATTTGAATATTTTTTGCATCATTATACAATTTGCACTGAGCATCAACTTTTTTTACGTTCTGTTGCTGTTTGTCTAATTATATTCACTTTATAGGCTCATTAAACGAGTGATTGTGAATTATATACTTAGGTTAGGTTATAATATAATTTATTGTCTCAAAACAAATTCTGTCACGTAAAGAATATAATTATCCATATAGCTGTTTTGTTAATATGATTCAGTGAAGCGTCGCGGGACGGATTATGTTGCTCCACGGGCCATAGTTTGCCGACCCCTGCTTTAGCATATCAAGTTGCACCAACGACTGAGGCATTCACGAAGTCTTAAAACAATACATTGTAAAAAACGAATGTATGATCTTTTTGTTGGGAATTGGTTAGAATACTGTTTCAAATGACTATCAATACCAATTTCTGTCAACATTTCAAAAACACTTTTAGATGAAAAGTGGTTATTGTTTTAGGCCAAGGCTACCCTATTAACCATTATCTCAATGTTTTTTTGCGGCAACTTATTTTCTTGAAAGATCTGAATATAAGTTCATGCATATTAAAAAAAAAACTTTGCTAATTATTCCCATACTTCACATTGGCTGATAACTTGACGAGATGCCTTGGTTCGCTGTATGTTGAAGCCATCTTTTCGACTTTCCTCTCCCCCCATCCCCCCTGGAAAAAAATATGGAAATCATATCCTATAATTTTGTTCCATTTGTGTCAGGAACCGTTCGAGGAATTCTGGAAAATCATAACGTCGACAACTATTGGCCTTTGTTGGAGAGGTCTGGTGTTAAAAGTGTCGAAGATCTTGCTCGGTTGGATAAAAAAAAACTTGAAGAGTTCGGCGTCAAAACAGTAGGTGACAGAATCAGAATTATGAATGCTGTGGAGAGTTGTAAATCTCCTTTCATATGTTCCAGCAAAGAAAAGGAAGGTAAGTACATGGATATAAATAGGATATATTACAGTTATAAAAAAGATTCAAAGGATCAAGATTTTGAATATTTAAGATGAGTGGATTTAAACTTTATTGGTGGAACAGAATTCCAATGTGCAATAGTTTTATTGTCTGAATTGTTTCGTACTTATTGTTTATTGGGCTGTTGATTTTCTTGATGAAATGTGGATTGGAATGTGGGCTTGCAATGGGGCTACAAAAACAAAAGGACAAAACAACAAAATTTTAAGGATCCAAATTAGTTTTTTTATTTTATTTCAGAAAACTTTGCTGTGGAGGAGCTACTGGGGAGAATTGGCATGATCAATTTCAAGCCTCTATTCAAGCAAGAAAGAATATCGATGGAATTACTGAATGCACTGGAGGATCAGGATTTCAAGGATATTGGAATCACGCAGGAAAATGATAGAAAAGCCATTAAGCAAGCACTTGAGGGAATGGAAGGATATTGTGACCTGGAATGTCATAAGTATGACAATGCAAACTAAAGATCAACTTTCTGTCTCAACTGATTCTGTAACAATTTTTTATTTATATAAAAATATAAAATTTGTTTCGTCTCAGAATTTGATTTCTGTTATCGGAATAATACTGTAAACTTTCTACTTGGCATTAATAATGACCTCATCGTTTAAGGGGGAAACGAGAAAAAACAATTTCTTGCTCATTCTAAAATCACTCATTTCAAAAAAGAAAGTGAAACCCTGATTGGTCAAACTGGGCCCCTTTTCTGTAAGTGTAGGAAGTAAAGAGAAAGAATTTATCAGAGTGACAAAGAAATCCTAAACGCCTTTATATAGAATACCCAAGCCAAAATAACAAGGGGAGAAAGGAGTGAAGGGACCAGAAATAAATGAGGGGAATTGAGATCAACTATTCTAGCAATGTTTGATGTTCGTTATCCGAACAATTTCTATTTAAGGTGCAATTTGATCATTTTATGCCACCTGTTTTTATCGTTGTTTATTATAATGTATGTTTATAAAACAAAGAAATAAAATATTGAAAAATGTCGAAATTTATTTTCCTGTTATATAAAATTAACAGGAATTTACAAAATGAGCGTTGCGGTAACTTCTGATTAATGTATTATTTTATACCGTACTCTAAAATATATATAAATTAGCGACACAAAGGTCGTTGCAATTCCATTGATCTTGAATTGATCGACTAAGAATTAGCACAAAATTTTTGAATCAAATAGTAATCCGTACCCACCTGCATTTGTGCATATTACTATACCGATGATTTCTGACTAAATGGCGATTTTTGGCCAGCTCTGCGTATTTAAGACCTGTTCGGCATCCTCCAGTTTTACTTAGTCATGACGGGCTTTGTCCAACTGAGTTTTTCATGTTCCGCACCCTTCCGCGTACGTCCACGAACGAGGGGTTCAAAGTCAAACCAAGATGGCTCTCGCTTCTACACTATATTACACAATTTACAAGGTATAGGAATTTTCCGTCACGATTGTTCGGTTATATTTTCAGTAAACTCTGTGCTTGGCCGTGTCCCATCACTGGGTTTAAACCCCGCGTCATATGTATGAAACACTGAAGTATTGCCATTACGATGCTTTTGTCCAAAAGATGCTTGGTGTGTCTGCTTAACATTTTGCTAACATATGCTGGGAGATTGAACACATGGATGTTTTCCCGAGGACCGACGTTTTTCTTATTTACGTGGCGTCAGTCAACAATAACTTAAAAACTTAGAAGTAACAATAGGAATTGCAGCAGCCGCCCAGGCACCTCTTGCTCGCTCAGATTTTCAAACACGGTTGTGCACGTAGGCTGGCATTTCCGTTTTTGAAAGTTTTCAGTCATGTGTAAAAATGTAGGTGTAGATCAGATTAATCAACAGTCATTTTGTCTCTGAGAGAGTTTTATTCGAAATAAGACACAACGCGAGAAACTTGGGGTAGACCGGACCAAAATTATCTGTCGGTAGTTTCCAATGGTAAGTGATTAAATATATTAGAATAAAAACGATTATTTTCAATATGTGAGCGCCAAATCGTAAAATAGACATGAATAATTTTGCTACAGCCAAGCACAGAATAAAGTTTGGAGAAACATCCAATCAGCGAAGAGCAACGAAAACGCATTGTAATGTAAGAACCGCTATTTGAAAATCGAAATAACCTGTCACTGGACTGAGTTCGTATCATGTTCGATTGTCAGCTGTTCGCATAGAAACATGTATTGTAGACTAATACAAACACAAATTCAGAATATAGGTGGATGTACTTAAGTACGGGCCCGATATGATTTTTATTCTTTTGGGTTTAGCTTAGCGTAGTCAGGATGAAAACCGGTGTGTGTTCCCGTGACTCTACTGTTATATTTTCCAGTCCAGTCCAATTTGGTACTCTCGAAGTATGTGAACCAAGATGGCGGACACCGGAACGTAGTATGTGTATCAGGTTAGGGTTAGGTCATAATTCTAGGTACAAATACTGCGAGCGTCACTTGGCTAGTCCCCGAACTCGTATTAGAACTAAATTTGGAATAAAATTATAGCACATACTACGTTCCAATGTCCGCCATCTTGGTTTACATACTTCGGGAGTATCCAATTTTGTATTCGTTTTCTGCAAGCCTGACCTACTACTTGGATAAACTTTACAAACATATGTATTAGCGTAAAATGTTTAATAAGAACATCGCTGGCGGACGAGAAATCGTGGTTATCCATGTTGGTAAGTTGCTTCTGGAAAATGGTGTCTGCTATCCAAGGCTGGGCTATTGCAAAGCGGGCTAAGCTAAAGATTTTTGATTTATCATTCTTTTTCAAATCGTTTTTAAATAATATCTTTTCTCAGAATTTACCTGGTGTGAAAATATAAAACAGAAATTTGTTCTATATTAATTCCGAAAATGTTCCAAATACTGTATGGATTATACTCTCTCCAATTGACGGATATGAATGTTATTCAGCCGAAAAGGAATTTATTGGTGTATGTATGGATTGTACCCAAACTCCCAAAGACTGGCGTCAAGAATGAAACGCATTACAGCATGGAGACTCAAAACTTGGATTATCAACAATGCAACTGATCCAATCCTACTCAATGCTGGCAGAATGGGGGTTTTCAGCGGCGTCTTGTTACAAGGTAAATTGAATCTTTTTAAAAGGAGTTTGTATTGAAAAAGGGTACTTCCGAAGTTTGAGTACCAGTTCAGGGTTGGGCCATAATATTATTCCGATTTTTCATATTAAATTCTATTACCGGGTCGGGGACCGTCTGATGGGAAATAGGAGAACAAAAATAGTTACCTCCATATTGGTACACATAGATAGCGCCGAAAAAAGTTCCTTCGTGAAGTTATATAATTCGGTAGCCAATCGCTCAACGCCGATTTTGGTGGTCAAGCAATCACAAAAGAATAAACTTCAAACTGCATTTTCGCTGCTTGATCAAGCTGCCACAGTATAGTATAAATATACACAATATATTTCAATCTGTTCTAATTTTCTGCGATTGTATTGCTTTATTTGACTGGTCGCGGAACAAAAACATGAAGTAATATTTGGTAGCTTTTCTTATACAACTGAAACGCTTACCATTTCAAATACAAACTACAGCAGGCTCAATGAATCACGTAAAATATAAAATACATACCGTACATATTTACGGTTGCGAAGTGATGTATCGAATATTTTCATGTAACTAACTAACTCCACTATACATAAAAGATCAGCTCCAAAGTAATAACGTAACGTGAACAGAACTTATCAAATTAATTCGAAGTTAAAATAGCGAAATAAACAATAGAAATAGGAGCACTCCCAAACGCCATGGTCGCGTTGAAATCTTGATAGACAAGGATATAACGGAATTTCAGCGATAAATGGCTGTACCAGCAATAGCTACAATATTAACAAATGAAACCGCAGATTTGAGGAACTAGCGCATCACGTTTAGACCTGATGTCAGTCACTATCTATACCAACAGATGATACATTCGTAAGGACAGAACGCGAGTCTGTAGGGAATATCTCACTTTCTAAACCGACATTGCTTCCGCAAACCTCATTTATGTTATCCATCGTGCATTACGCGCCACTGTTCTATTTTTGTTGTCATGTTCAATCTGCAATCTCAAATAATTTCGGTGCAATTGTTTTTTATTTTTCGTTGTGTGTAGCATGTTTTGGTGCATTTCCGTCTTTTCTGGCGCCTCCTTAATGCAAAAGTTTTTTCGGCCGTTTCGTGTTATGTAGGCTATTCCGTTAGTAACTCCGTGTGAGTGCATATAAGTGAAGATGATTTCTTTCGATCGCGCAGCTTCATCAGACGTGCATTCAAGTTTATACACAAACTCATACAAGCATAATTTATTTATTGTACATCGCTTTCTCATCGCCACAACCCATTTTGGTATGCATGCAACTATTCACGTCAGGGGTCTCAAACTCGCGGGCCAATTGCGGCCCGCAGGACGATAGTTTGCGGCCTCCGCCTTGGTATGAAAGTTTAATGTTTGTTCAGTTAGAATGATCGATGCATTTAATATATGATCAGGACAAGTAGAGCAAAACAAAACATTTTATAATCTGTCCCCCGAAAGGAATATGCGGTGCGGTAACCCACTGGTACCGTACCTGTAGCAGGGTTGCCATATTGGCTTTCTAAACGCCAAATTTGCCATTTTTGGCTTTTTTCAAACGCGTTTGGCGTCAGAATTTCCGTTTGGCTTTTTGGCGTTTTTTTGGCTTTTTTCAAGTCTATTCTGGTGTCTATTATTAAAATCATATGAAATACAATATTTAGTGTGTAACAACTGAACAATAGTCTATTAGCCTTATTATCACCTGTACTTAGCTACTTAACATTAGGATTTCCTGGAGCATCGATTTCCTTGTTTGTTACATTAACTCTTACCCATACCCAATAAGAAATAAGTGCAGTTTCTGCAGCTGCTCAGACATATTTTCAAGCAGGGTTGTAAACATTGCCTCGTTTTTATAGTTTTGCGTGATATTTGTCAGTTTACGTTCTGTTTCCAAAAAATAGTTGTATAACTCTTTTTCCATTATGCCTGATATGGTTTATGTGAGCTTTCAGCTTTAGTTTAATCCTGCAATTGCAGTAACGATGTGATTAACTACGCTAAAATTATCAATGATCCACCTGTGAGCGGCAGGGGGTTAGATAATTTTTTAATAAAATTGATGGTTTATAAATTTAAAAAGTGAAAAAATTTTCAATAATAAAGTACGATATAGGGAGAATTTTTTAAGATGTATCACAAGTTTAAGTAGGAACATATTGTAGGTATATTACATACTGACAGACTGAAGCGGCACCCTGTATTGTATATATTGAATGGTAAAATAATGCTGCCCGCTTGATACGGTATTTATTTTACTTTCTACAGTTCTGTAGGAACTTTACTTACTATTTGTGTGCCTCACTGAATGAACTGATGGCTCTACATCATCATCAGTACGTTGCCAAGGGCTTAAAATCTGACAAATCATGGGGCTTTTGTACTTAGTAAAATTGTTGGCTTTTTCTGGCTTTTTTTATGTCTTGATTTGGCTTTTTTTGATCGCTGGGGTCTGGCAACCCTGACCTGTAGGCATGATATTCGAGAGACCTTTGACCCCGAGGAAAATTTTCTTATACGCGTCGCGAGTATATGTTTCACGTCATCATTTTGATTCAAAACATTCAACAACATCAGTACCGCTAGAGAAGTTTAGCCTAGTCTATCACAGCTATTTCTAGACTAATTTTTGATTACGGCAATTAAGCTACGACGCCCAAGCAATCAGAATGATCATTGAGTTCTTCGATTCATCATTGAATTTCTGAAACACAACATAAAACTAACAAATGGCATGCAAAAACGAGGTAGCCTAATGGTTAAAAACATGCCTGAAAATCTTTCTGAGTGACAAGTGTCTGAGCGTTTGCGAAAAAGTCTATTGTTACGTCACTTTTTGCGTCTTGCTGATTAGCTCATGTTACGGAATAAACAAGGAAATAGATGCTCGAGGAAAGGTCCATCGCGGAATTACTTACATTTATGTTTTAGGTTTTAGGTTTTTTTAGGAACTTTTTAGGTTTAATGCTTTTTTTGTGAAAAACCCGATGCGGCCCGGACTAACTAAGGCTCCGTCTCGGCGGCCCCCAGGTAAATTGAGTTTGAGACCTCTGATTTACGTTATCCAACCTGTCTATGCGACAGCGATGTCCGCACTTGCATCAACTCACGATGCAAGCCCGTGAAAACAAAACTGGGCATGAAAAATATTAGCGCGGCTTTCGCAGCATTAGTCGTATTTCGAAATATTTGTCACTGTGTAATAAGGATGGGTAGGATTTTCCATATTTATCCCAGGGGAGGGGAAAACCGATAAGACCATGGACTTGATTAAATTTATTTTTATGCGTTTGAAAAATTTCCATTCCGCAAATTACATTATGTTTTATCAAAGGCAACGTGATTTTACATAAAAATGGCATTTTTCGCCTCAAACTGTTGGATGACGTTAACTGAAAACTTAAAGTAGCCTACGTCTTTGTGAAGCAGAAAATAACGAAAATGAGCGTTTGGACGAAAATGAACGACTTTGATAATTATTCACAACAAAATGGTTTTGTTACATAAAAATTTTTGGACATAGAAGATCGCAAATTTACTGTTGATTGTTATTAGAAACCATATCCTACCATCACTGAAATTGAAACGTATCAATGCCCATTTTTCCTATAAGTCGTTGCAACTACGAATTACATAGAACACAATTCAATTGTAACCATATCATGTTAAACCACCATTTTATAGGTGCCCGTATCCGTCGCGGATTGATTACCTTGCGCAACAACAAAAAAATCATTATTCGTTGAAAGAGTCGTGTATCTCACATTTCTATTCCCGCATATTGTCATGATATTTGGAATAGTGATGTTATTATTTTGTAGTAACTTGACGACGATTAGTTTAACATAGTAAGATGTTCTGAATTTCTCATAGTTGTCATGGATTGCATAATTAACGCTACCAAAGAAAAAAAATTTCATTATACGTTGAAAAAGTCAGCCTTTTAAACGAGTGCATACACACACAGCCTTGGCAAATTTCGGATTTTGAAACAATTCCTTCCGAAATACCTGGCTGTGCCCCTGGCAACACCTAGTCCTAAGAACATCAATGGAGCAGTTCAAATACAACAACGCCATTGACACCCACCCATAACAATGGTTGGTGCTATAACTAATTGTTGGGACACCTAACTCTGTTTACAACTCAGGATAAATGAATTCTGGGTTAAACTCTAGCCACCATCTCTACCTTGTTGTGAACAACATGTCGATCCTACAGAGGAACATAGATTTCCTGCTGTCAGTCACTGTTTGTTAAAATGCTCTTTTTCAAAGCGGAGTTTTGGTGTATTTAACAACAACACTAGACATCAACTGGTAACTGGACGAGAGGCCGTGGTGCACCATATGATTAAGTCGTCGTATAGACTTTCCTCTCCCAAAGATTAAAAATGACATTCTGTCTGATATATCTGACAAATTACTTCAGCCACTGAAATCTAGCAATTGTAGTAGTTAAAACTTTTCATTTCAACACCAAAACACACCGTCAAATCGGTTAAATTTCAGCAACCGGTCCAGGCTTAAGGGAAACTAATTAAAAATAATATATTTGTTGGATATTCATATCCCATCCATGCAGTTTTGGAATGAGACATCGTTTAGCTGGTGCTCCAGAAGTGTGTGCGCCAAGATAGCACGCAACCCGATCCCTGACCTGGTACACATACTTCGGAACCTTCCTTAAGGTTTACCATCTGTTATCTGTATCTTATTGCAAGGTCAATGCAAACCATAGCCTAGGGTAACTTTGGTCCATTGGTCTTGATATAATACCAGTGCCGCAATATCTAGTACCGGTACGGTACTCTACTGTAGACTACAAGGACAGTAAGCAAATACATCACTATTCTTCAGATTGAAGAAAATAAACATTCAAAACATCTTGTTATTCCACTAAATAATTTTGCAATCTTATAATTTAATATTCAAATATATTCAGATAATTCAGAAAATTATTCTATACAGTACAGTGTCATATGTATGACTTTCCAGGCCACAATATCACAATGTACTTTTCTCATGTGAACTCTATCATTTTCAACCTCAAAATACAACCATAAATTCGGTTGAATGTCAGAAACATAAAAATTGTCATGTCCACTACCACAACATGTTATGATTGCGCACACTGCACCACACTTGGATTGCCAGGATTACTTGAGAATGCCTAATGAAAATCAAGAAAGCATTAGAAATATATACGGGAGAGAATTTTAGGCACTGGAAATAAAACTTCACACAAACAACAAAATTTGAAGGCAAGTCAGTTTCTGACGTGAGAAAGCTCATTGAAATCAAGATATATAACAGTAATAAATAGAAGGGTCTTCGACTCTTCAGTCATTTTGACATTTTTATAATTACTGAGAGTGACTATCATTGGTGGATATGAGAAATAAATGCATATATTACATCATCTAGTACAGGGGTTCTCAAACTTTTGATGTTGCGGAGCCCTTGAAGAGGTTGACTATTCTTCACGGAGCCCCACAAATAAATTTTGAAAATAACGAAGAAAAAAAACACATATCATTTGCTGATAAATATTCCCGAGTAAGTTAAAATTACTTTACCCAATTTAAATGCTAAAACTTTTTAATCTGCATTTCACAGATAAATTATATATATTAGGTCTGTAAAATTGAAACTTGACAAACACATTAATGAACTCGAAATGAGGTCGAACCACCTCACTTTTGATATTTTTGGAAGACTGAGGAAGTCGCTCTTAACATGCGCGATTGCATTTTGTTAAAATGCGACTTTTTTCGATATGTGACAATATATAGGGTAATTGTGAAGATTATTAATCAATTTGTTATTGCGAACAAAATACATTTCAATCCTTCGTTTTTTTCGTTCACTTGACTTTGTTGTTTCTCGTTTATTGTCCACGCACCCACAGGTTACGTTGAACACAATGAAGCCAATAAACAAGGCATTTTAACATGCAGGCATCGGTCAGGGATTGCGCAATTGTAAATTGTACTCCTTGAGATTTTAACACCGCCGAGAGAACAACTCAAATTTGATGAATCCCAAGATCGCAAAAATACGATTCCAATCTATTTATTGTTGGCAGTTTAGCACTTATTTTATATTATTTTAGAATAGTAGTATTTCTCATTTTGATAATCGTAATTGTAATCTCGACTCATAGGCAAGTAACGAGAAACACAATTAAATTATAATTTTTTTTTGTATCGAGTGGCCTAATAGCGAGTAGTCATGCCAGGGAATTTTTAATTCCAATTTTGAACCCTCCCCTCTCTCTTTTAAAAATCCTGGCTGTGCTTCTACTTATAGATAATGTAATATTTGAATTACGCCTCGTTGCGATATTTCGACGCTACTGTTGTCAGATTTTATTAATGGTGGTATTGCTTCTTTGAACAGTTACAGAATAGCCAAGATCATATTTTGTGAGTAATCGAATAGCTCACGGAGCCCCTAGGTTCCTCTCGCGGAGCCCTGGGGCTTCGTACGGAGCACTTTGAGAACCTATGATCTAGTATAAGGAAGCAAAACGTCATTCACAAAAGATATAGCTTAATAATAATATAATATATAATATAATATAATTAATATAGCTTAATAATAATTATTTTGATGGCATGAAAAGGTGATCATTGGCCCAAGGTTAGTGTGCTTATACATCACAATTATAGGATCGAAAAAATATCAATATTCGAAACATCTTATTATTCCACTAAAATGTAAATTACTATTCAATCTCTTTAAGTACATCTTCATACTGATGTCTTTCCAAGTCACAATATCCTTGCACTACTTCCAGTGCCTGCTTAATGGCTTTTCTATCATTTTCCTGTGTGATTCCAACATCCTTGAAATCTTGATCTTTCATTACGTTCAGTAATTCCAATGATATTCTTTCTTTCTCGAACAAGGAATTGAAATTGATCATGCCAACTTTTTCCAGTAGCTCATTGACAGCAAAGTTTTCTGAAATTGAAAGAGATACATTTCGATATCAGGGGCTTAAAATTCTGTGCAATATTTGTAGTGCACTTTTCTTGTAGCCCAATCGCAAAATCCCATATTCCAATGCAAAATGCATTAAAGGTACCCTTCTAGGATTTGAAAAGGAAAATCAAGCTCCTTTATCCCTTTAATACAGTGGTTCCCAACCTGAGGGTCGCAAACCCCACTTTCAAGGGAATTTCTAATCAAGATTTCATGTAGGACTTTTTTCAGTACTCCTGAAGTATGCACACCAAGATGTCGGATAACCTGAACCCTAACCTGGTACATAACCTGAGTTCAGGTTGTGCGCCATCTTGGTGCGCATACTTCAGGAGGTCCCTTTTTTCTCTAGAATCTATATAAATCAGTGATGGAAAAAATAGGCGCATAATAATTTGTATATTTAAGCGGAAATATTAAAAACGAGAAACATTGAATATCGATTATAAAGCTTTGATTTGACCAATCCTAGAATTGAGTCAGAGCCTACCACTGTCGAGCCCAACAATCTTATCACCATGATGCATTTCAATTTGACTAAAAGTGTCAAATTTCACCACTTTATGCAATGATTTTATTTGGACAAAAAAAACGCTGTGACGCTTTGACATCTTTAAAATTTCACCCAAGTTTGTTCTGTATATTTAGTAAATATCACAACTGCGAAACTCTCTGTGATACAAATTGATATCTCTGACATGGGGGCGATCAATCAGAAATGGATTCACCTCTAATCTCAGTTTAAAGACTGCAGAAGGCAAACATTCCACATTATAGCTGAAAAAAACAAAACTAAAGAACATGCAACAGCTTTGTTTGAAAGGGATGGAGAAAATGCCAATGGCAAACAAATGTTGTGAGGACCCTTTCTCACACATTTGATTTCTTTGCATGGTCATATGGGATGGCCAACATGTCCGCCTGACCTTTCACCCTGTGAATATTTTCTGTGGGGTTACCTTGAGGACTAGGTTTACAAGCATCCCCAGCAATAAATATCAATATTTGTATGTATTTATGTATAAATATTCGTCTCGTAAAATGGATTGAAAGCTACCATTTCTATGAGAATCAATCAATCGAAGGATGATAGAAAAAAATTAGGCTATGCTCACTGCAATGTATTGCAGCAAAAAAAGGAATGTGGGAGGTTTTTCGGCTCACCCTGTACAATAAAATCGGAGCATGAAGGTCCAAGTTATGCAGTTTATTTACTCTATTTCTGGTTTTGGAAGATGTCAAGGCTTAATATTCTTCCATTTGTATGACCTACTAATATTAATGTATATTTAGCAAATATGGTGAAAGGGATTATGTGAAAAAATATTCAAAGAGGGTCATGACACCACTGCTGCAATATGTCATATTAATTACATGTACTCACCTTCGTTTACTGTGTTGGAACTTGAAGAAGGAGATTTACAACTCTCCACAGCATTCATAATTCTGATCCTGTCACCTACTGTTTTGACGCCAAACTCTTCAAGCTTCTTTTTATCCAACTGAGCAAGATCTTCAGCACTTTTAATACCAGACTTTTCCAACAAAGGCCAATAGTTGTCAACATTATGTTTTTCCAGAATTCTTCGAACAGAAAAATCTCTCAAGGCTAAAAAAAACATTGGAATTAAATCTTGATTGTACTGAGCGTTAAGAATACGGCACCCCTGATCAGTGGCGCAACCAGCGGGGGGGTACGGGGGTCGTGTCCCCCCCGTTTGAAATTTTTTTTATTTTTTATTATTGTTCTATGTTCAAACAACATGAAAACTACTTTTTTCCAGTGCTTCATCACCTCGACGTAATTTAACACCGCCAGACTTTATTCATACCTTTTTGCTGTTAGTTACGTAATAATTGCTATCCTGCTATCAAATTTCCTGTTACGTTCGGTCACTATCGAAACTGAGGATAAAAACAACTAATTAAGACATAATTTGCCGAGGACGCCTAAACTATCTCGACTAAGTTAAAATACACGATAAGAAAATATTTTCAATCAAAAACGTCCTCGAAGTCTTATAAGTTCTTCAAGTCGGCATTTATCGAAATTCTTTCATGTCAGCTGTAATATATTGCCGAACCACACATGGACGACGACGCTAGGATATGTGCACCATATTCGTGATTATTATAAACACGAAAAAACAGTATTTGAAGTTTGCAATATTTGAATTTAAATTCGATTTGGAAATGCCTGCATTAAATTACCGTAGTCAGTTTTTAGTTGTGTTTCCGTTGCGTGCTGGCGCGTCTTGGATGACAGTTCGTATAGTTTGAATATTGTTGCTCTACGCCAGGGTCGTCCAACCTGTGGCCCGCGGGTCATATGTGGCCCGCAGAAGCATTTTAAGTGGCCCGCGCTGTACTTTTTAGTATTGAATAAAAAAAAAATAGAGAAAAACTATTTTTTTAGTGATATAGTATACAAAAATGTGATACAAACGATTTATTTATTTTCATGATATGTGCTCTGCCAGCCCTTTCAAACGAGCCATGAGTGAAATAAGCCTGTCAAGACAGACCATAACTTGTCGTGTTGAAGAGCTTGGGAACTCTATAGCGGAAACTTCGATTTCAAAAGCTGGAAAATTTTCATTGTATTCCTTGGCGCTTGACGAAAGCACTGACATCAAGGTTACTGCTCAGTTGGCGATCTTCTTGCGCGGAGTTAATGATTTGAAATTACCGAAGATCTCGCAGCCATTGAGCCTATTGAGGGTACGACTAAAGGCTTTGATTTGTTGGGAGCTATGATAAAAATGATCAAGCGTCTACACCTGTCTTTGGCGAAACTTTCGAGAATAACCACTGACGCGCCCATCAAGGTTGAAAAAAAAACAGTTTTATTGTTCTAATAATTGTGAACGTTTGGTGTGAGGGTGTTGTTTGATTGTTCATTACCCAGCCAGTGTAGCAAAACTAGAAAATAACTACCATGTTAAGTGGCCCGCGAAATCATAAGTGAATCACATGTGGCCCTTTGGCCAACCCTACTCTACGCCCATCAGAAGGTTGAAAGGTACGAAACTACTCGAGACCCGAATATTTTACAAACATTCCCTTCGCTCTTTTGTCCTTTTTTACGCGCCAGTGCTTTTACTGTAACGGTACACGTGCAGAAGACGTGGTTTGTTTCCGTGAGCAGTAATTACTGGTACATGACTTGTGCATCGCTGAGCGGCGCGTGTGCGTACATAAAAATGGCTCGCGTGGGCATGTGCGTGCACGAGCGCATGCACCCCGTATGTCGAGCGGATTGGTCGCACGCACCTATATACGAGAAAACCTGTATATACGCACCTATATACGAGAAAAAAAAGCGACTTATAGGCGAGTATATACGGTATGTTGTATTCACATGAATAAAATTTCCTTCATCTGATCTTCTTTGTTTATTATTATTTTATAGCAAACTGGCTTTATGAGTGGAAATGTTCATGTTTTGTGATAGGTGTGCCGCAAATATTAAAAGTGCTCAATAGTGTGCCACCATATAAAAAAGGTTGGGAACCACTGTTCTAATATATTGCGCCAATCCCAAGCATATAAGCTTTAATATTGACCACACTGGCTCTTCGCTTGTGACTTCACACCAATTACCAGGATTTATTCATTTCCTAGTGAGTAACAAATGCCTTGCCTAGAGCAAACAACAATAGGAATTGGGGCGTGAACTTGAAGCTACTTTCCTCACAACCAGTAACTCACATTATTTGCATTCAAACATGCATGTCACTACATGGCTAACTACTCCATGGGCCCGTCCCGACCTCAGTTGGAAATAGGGTGTTTGAAAATATTACTACTACTACATCTTAGAGCAACGGATGGTTTATTGTTTTTCCATCATCTAATTCCATGCATACAAAAGCTAAAATAATTCAACACCCAACAGTCATATGATGAAACCATGGGCAGATATGAAAAATTTTCACTCTAGAAATAGAAACAACACCAAGAATTCTTTGCTCATATAAGATACTTTCAATAAAATACTTACCATTTTTTTCTGTGTGATCGACCACAGGTTTCTTGTTTGCATCATGCTGTTCAAAACGGCTCGAGAGTGGAGTTGGAACTGGATGAATAAAAAACGAATTAACAGGGTTTCATATTTAACATACAACAAAGAAAAGTTGTTATTAACATAATCCAATAAAATGGTTAACATAGATGCAGTTTGAACAAGCTTTTATCCTGCATGAAGTTTGAGTTATATTCCGAAATAAACTTATTCACTGTACATTGAGGTCTGTCCACTGTCTGCATTTCACCAGTTCCTTCTCCATCTATGTCTTCATATGAGCTATCATCATCCCATTCATTGTCAGAATTTTCTAAGCTTTCTGCAATAAGTAGATTTTTTTTAAGCTTCAGTATATTGATAAAAATGTTTGCATTTTTTAACTACTTCTCTAGAATGTTATGGGTAACTATGTTGACTACTTGACACTCATGTACTGTATCCATTTTGTTCGAGAACACAGCCTTCTAGAAGTTAATGGTGACTTGAAGAATTTTAAGGCTTATTTCAACCAGTAATGCATCGCATTGGTATGTCGTAGGTTGATGAAATAACTCAATTGTTTTTTATTCTTTTTCAATGAGCGCTTATTAAGACGCTAGGATAAATGAGTTGTCTCTGAATATTGGGGACTTTTAAAAAATAAAAAAATTTCATGGCAATGCCCACCAGCTCTGAATGGTATAGGTGGAAGATCGTGAATTACAGTCCGTGGTGTAGGACGTGGAGCTTTTCTGGCAGGCTTTACCTTGGATTGTTGCTGTTCAAGCCTTTGTGTAACCCCCACAGTCACTGGAATATCAGTTTAATAAAAAAAAATTAAATTTAACAATTCCTATGAAGAGTGAAAGTCAGATACGAAGCAACATTTTATAAAAAGAAAATAATTTCTAATTTCACTTTCACCCTGCATGAGAGGAAATCTGATGAAATGGATTGATTATTCGGAAATAATTTCAAATAATTGACGCCTGATACAACCATGAACACACTTTGATTGGTTCAATAAGAATCTTGAATAACAAATGATTTCACTTCACATTTGCACCTTTAGGTTGACTTTCTCTCGGTTTTTCATTTTCAACACCAATGTCATCATAGATATTTTCAGCAGTCACAGCATACTTTTGACCTAAAAGTAGATACTTAGGATGAGTCATATCCACTTATATATTTCTAATTTCACTTTCACCCTGCATGAGAGGAAATCTGATGAAATGGATTGATTATTCGGAAATAATTTCAAATAATTGACGCCTGATACAACCATGAACACACTTTGATTGGTTCAATAAGAATCTTGAATAACAAATGATTTCACTTCACATTTGCACCTTTAGGTTGACTTTCTCTCGGTTTTTCATTTTCAACACCAATGTCATCATAGATATTTTCAGCAGTCACAGCATACTTTTGACCTAAAAGTAGATACTTAGGATGAGTCATATCCACTTATATATTTCTAATTTCACTTTCACCCTGCATGAGAGGAAATCTGATGAAATGGATTGATTATTCGGAAATAATTTCAAATAATTGACGCCTGATACAACCATGAACACACTTTGATTGGTTCAATAAGAATCTTGAATAACAAATGATTTCACTTCACATTTGCACCTTCAGGTTGACTTTCTCTCGGTTTTTCATTTTCAACACCAATGTCATCATAGATATTTTCAGCAGTCACAGCATACTTTTGACCTAAAAGTAGATACTTAGGATGAGTCATATCCACTTATATATTGGCATTCGGTGAAATAGGTCAGAGCTACTCGACTATTTTCACCAAAGAAATGTATACACGACTTCTAAATTATTGGGGTCCACTCTTTCCAGAAATTATATTTTGACATCCTCAAACGTGCACTTCCACGGTCGGCTATTGATTATTCGCTAATCAAGATAGCGCTAATCGCTTTGTTTATTATGGCGTTACAGTTTTTTTCATATGTAGTTGGTGCAAATATGAGTAAATTATAAAATGACCTTTATCTGAATTATTTATTTAAAGGAAATCTCCACATATCCAAAGTCGAAGTGGGGCCAATGATTACACACCCACAATCATGCCATCGCCATTCTCTCCCTCACTCCAGGAATAATGAAAATACAAATGAAATGCTTAACAATGACCCCCTATAAATGGTTTGATAAAATAAAAAAATAAAATTATAACCTTCAACCTCATGAGTTGCGGTTTTGATGCGGGTGCGACTGAATAAAAAGATTGAAGAATATTCAGAACTTATCCCCAGTTTTTTTATATAGGCTGCTCGATGGCTAATAGCTCGGTGTGGCGCATCGCACTAAATGTTTTGAATACACTCGTCACCGCACCTCTGATTACCCTTCATTGGTTTGTAGGTTCGAATCCCATGCGGGGTTAATTATGTGCAAGAGGATTGCTGGACTCCTAATGGTCGTAGTAGGGTTTACGTAACCGCTGGCCGGTTACGGCTTCCTCCACCATCAAGTCTATGCATCTGAAAACAAATAATTGGATGACTGATCCCATACCCTACATCAAGGCTGCCCAACCCGCAGGAGCATGCGGCCCGCGGGAGTGTTTTTTGCGGCCCGCCCTATAAAGTTTGTAAGCAGACTTTTTAAATTTTTACTATACATAAGTATCTTTCGTCATTTTGGTGTAATTATTCCTGCCATCTATCTACGTTCAAATGCCAGTTTTTAATATTACATATGTGTCAAGTCTTGCACCCTGGTGGACATAAACGTCATTTTTTTTATTTCTCGCAAAACTGTGCACTCTGTTAGTATAAGTATAAGTTTATTTCGACTCCATAATCAGCATAACAATAAAATGATTGGTAAAAAAAATAAATGAAAACTGATCATGAAATCAGGAGAGCAAACAAAACCTTAGATAAGGTTTAAAACGTACAGAATGTGAACAAGATGGATGGTTTTGCCAAGAAGAAGTGGTACGTGTTCACTCACCGAAAATAATGGAAATATTTCACACACGCACCCACACACACAACCATACAGAAGTTATAAATTACATACAGGTAGTTAAAAAAAAAATAAAATAAAAATTACTTGCCACACCATATTAATAAATTTATAACGTTTGCCACTGCCGAATTGATAGATTTTATAAATGGGAGTGAACAGTAGAGATGAACTTTTATGAAAAATATATTGCCAAGCTGATTATAGTTGGAGTCAAATGCCAAAAATGCCCAACCAAAGTTGCCAGAATTGAGTGCATGTTCGACGAACTATAAAGATATTGTGCGATCATTGGGAACAAACGCTGAGCGCAAATATAGGAATAAACTTGGAGCCCAAGTTTGCAAATTAATTTCATTCTGATTGCTTACTCTCGTGTCGGCTTCGATCGTTTTTTTCGCCAACGTGAAATAAAAAGTCAACAATATCTTGGGTACTGGTCCCCGGACTCGTTGTCTTTTTATGTTTGTACTTTTGTTCATTTTATGTTCGCGTTAAATAAGATTTTGGAAATGTCGTCTCTGCGTATTCGTCAATAACTATGATGAAATGGACGTATAAGCATTGCTACTGATAAGTCACAAATCAGTATATATAGACTATTCGTTCATAAATCTTCGTTATGTTACTTCATTAAATACACTAAAACTTTATATTGCCGCGACATTAACGCATATTATGCTCATTTGAATAGTAAACCGTTATTCTAATATTCGAATAATTTGCCAGTCCTGCCAAGTAACCAGAAAGCAATTATTAATTTGATTGATTTCATGTTAATAAACTCGCCTTTCATGTATTATATGATTACCTACACCAAAATCAGGACTTATCTGGTATTAATGTTTGGTACAAACGTTTGAGGCCGGCGACCGATTTCGTCACGTGAAAGTGGCCCGCGAGACGAAAAAGGCCTGCCCTACATGGACTGGTAATCAGATGAGAGGCAGTGGTTCGCCTTCTGATTAGGCTGTTTTACAGGCTTTCCTCTCCACCAGGATAAATGGGTAAATTCTATACTACTACTTATTACAAACCTGCATACAAATCTTCATGCTCTAATGTCACCTGGAAAGGTGCTGAATGGAGTATTTCATTGACATTCCTAATACAAAGTTGCAATAAGTGAGTACCACTACTTTGCGCTAGCAATGCAACAGATTGACGAACACTTTTCTGATTTTTTAGGTCATCGTATGAAAGCTCTTTTCCCTCCGCAGGTTTGACTATTACTGATCCATCCATTGACTCAATCCGACTAGTACATGGTGACCACCGACGGAATCGAACCTGATGGTTAGAAGTACCATGCTCGATGCATTGATATCCACCAGAAATTAACTGGCGACAGGCATTGGTGGTGTCCCCCAATGAATAGATCACAACCACCCATGAACCTTTCGTTAGGATTTGATAGTTAACCAGAAATTTCTCCTCTGAAAAATAAGTACATAAGTATAAGAATGAGTGAACTTAACTATGGTTTTTAATAGGGTTTTCTACCATCAAGCGTCACCAGCAGGGGCAGACCTGCCATTACAGCATTACTGGCTACATACGTTGGTTTGTGTTTTTAATTTGCTGCCGTGGTACTCCGACTCAAAACAAGGTGCCCCGAACTCATCGCAAAATTTTTTTCTGCTTCACACTGTTTCCCTCTGTTTCGCGCTGTTTCCCCACTGTTTTGCGCTGTTTCCCTCTGTTTTGCGCTGTTTCCCTCTGTTTTGCGGTGTTTCGCGCTGTATTCAGTAAGTAGTAAGACCGTACAGAGATGGTTATGTGCGAGAGGTTGCTGGACTCCTCGCCGTCGTTGGGTGGTTCATGTACCGGTTACGGCTTCCTCCACCACCAAGTCCATGCTTCCGAAAACAAACAATTAACTAATCCCATACCGGTACCCGACTTGGAATGGTAACCGGACGAGAGGGCGTGGTTCGCCATATGGATAAGCCGTCTTATCGCCTTTCCTCTCCCCCGGGATAAATATGTAAATCCTGTCCTTAGTGTCCTATATATTTAACATGCTTGGATGAAAATGATAAGTTGAGACATCCTTTGCGTGTCGAGTACGGTAGGCCTACCGTATGCCTTCCCGCACCTACCGTATATGATCACGTTGTCCTGTCACTTTGTCATCCCATGCACAGTATTTTAACCAAACACATTTAATATATTTATCCTCATTCCTCACTATTGAAGTTGTGAGTAAAACACCCACCTTTCCATCTCCCATTACAAGAAGAGCCTTCCACAGTTGCAGGCTAACCCGTAACCGCCGTCGCATGGCATGTTAGCCACCACCCGTATGCCCAGTACCAAGCTTTAATACTTGTTTGTTCTTACCTTGTTTCAATGGTTGCCTGTTTCCTAGTTCAGTGTCATTTGAAGTAGATGGACCATCATGTGCAGCTATGTTTACATCTAAACAAATGATTCGGAATCGATTAACATTTTGTCCAGGGATCAGTACCGTGAAACCAGGTACCGTGAATTGGACACCTCAATGTATCTAACAACGTCGTATAGTTCCGCCCGCCTGAAGCTAGTTGCGTCCAACGGCCGGCAACCAACTTGTCTAATGTTAAACAAGTTCATGGACGCCATCTTGTGCCATATTTGGGAAACGCGAACAATGGGGTCTTATGGAAAAATTTTGTCGTGTTGTTGTACCGAATCGAATAAGTCCGCTGTTATAAGGGCTAGAATGAAACCGAAGGGTGGATTTTGAACTTTAAGATATATGCTATCTAAATATATAACGCAATCAGGAATAAAAAACTATATAATGCGTTAAATTTGACCACAAACACAGCGTAGAACCATTTTTGGTCATTTTTTCAAAGATTTTATAGTGATACGCCAATTTGAGGCTGTAAAATGTCTCCGCAACAATCCTACAATGTCATTTGTTCTTCTAGCGCAGCTTGGAGCTGAGCAGTAGGGCATTATGGAGCTTGGCAGACGAAAAATGTTAACCAGAAAATAGAAACGGCCATTGAGGCAAAGTTGGCTCGGCCGGTAATTTCGACGAATAAATACAACTTTTCATCTGTGACGTCATAAGGAACGCCATTGTCAAATGGTTAATTATGACGATCAGAATGGCCAATTTACTTCGGAAGCAACTCGGAACCGGTATACTTGTCTTCAAAGACAATTTAATGTACTATAAATGTAATTTGGCCAACATGAAACGATATAAGCATGTACGGCTAAGATTCTACTTCAAAACGCGAACTTCAAAATTTTTCTACCTCAAATATTAGTGAAAATAATAGGTATGTTCCAATAATTGTGTTGGAACTTTTCATTAGGCGCCGTGTTAAATTGCCGAGAACAATAGGCACAAGATGGCGTCCATTGTCTGAGCGTTGCCTCGCTTATATTATATATACGCTTTGGTTGCGTCAAGGTATCACCATTCGGTAGAGGGCGTTAACAATGTATTTAATACATTAGAGTGGTCGGACGAGATTCGGACGTGAAACCTAAAATTCTGATCTATAAATTCCCTAAAAATATTGAGATTTCACGCTGTGCCAAAAGTTAACGCCACATCACGTGGATCATTTTTCGCTACTATGACTATTATTGCCAAATGTAAAAGCATGGTTACTTACTGCCATTCAAATCATCAGGTCCTAATTCAACATGAAACGGTCGCAAGTGGAAAATTTCGCCTTCACGTTTAAGACAGATTTTTAGCAAGTGACGACCACCAGAAGAGGTCAGCAGTGTGACTTGATGCTGGATGGCTGTTTGGTTTTTGAGGTCGGTGTACACTAGAGGCATTTCAAACCGTGGACTGACTTCCCCAGATGAATCAGAAGACTCGATACTGCTGGTACATTCCGAAAATCGAGGCAACTGAATATCCGTCCCGGACCGTGCACCGCTCTCAATGATCTTATATCCACTAGCAGTTAACTCCTGACATGCTTGTGCAATGTCTTGTACCGTATAAACCACTACCACAAGTGGACCTTGGGTCAGAATCTGATATTTTGCAGGAAATTTTTGCTCTGAATAAATATTGCAAAATATGTTAAATATTGCAAAATATGGTTTTATAGTTTTTAGTAACCTGAACAATGCACAGCTTATTGCGTTAGTTGAAGTAACTTCAGTTAACAGTCGGACGTGTTTTAACTCAAGATTATTCTAATTTGACTCGGACGTTAAAATTAGAACTAAACTTGAGTCATAGGGACATATTAGACGACCATTGTTCAAATTAGAATGGAATTACAGCGTCATGGCCCTGTGACACCAAAACAATTTTATAAAATGCCGACAGATTCGATAAAAACAACAAATAGGGATGCCACTTTTGGATTTACGCGATTCGGATAAAGAGAGCGATTTACCGAAAAAATAATAACATTTGAACGTTTGTTCATCGTTATTGTCGTCGGCGTTAAATCTACCGAATGCATTTATGCGCCAAATGGGTTTTTGCGTCTATAATACGACAGCGAAGGGTATCTCGCAGTCTAGTGAAGTGAAATTACCCGTCTACAGATTACTGGTCATCCATACGGCGAACTATTTTGATTGGTAGATCCCAAATTCCATTATGATCAAAGTGACTATAAACCAAGTGAGGACATGCATTGGTAACGTTATAAGCGCTGGCATGACGTCACACCAGCCATTTTGTGTCCAGAGTTCTATCGCTGTATGATCCTAACCAAGTGATTTAAACCTGCGATCGTTAAACAGCTGAGTAAAAAAAACGATGCTCAATAATTTGGACCAAACTTTCGCAGAGGCAAAACGAAGGAACATTCTTCTGAAAAATTAATTAACCGCAGATGTTTCTCGGATAACTTGGCTCAGCGGTATGGTCAGCATATACGAAGTTAAGGTTGAAATCATCCAACTTCACTCGATAAATCAACCAAAATATTAAACAAAAAGATAAACATTTTATTATAAAATTCCTGATGTAAGTATCGCTACTTGCACAGAACCTATTTTAACAAACTGACAGAACTACAATACAAATTATACTATAGAAACTTGCACTACTTTTGCGGTACATGTCATGATATTAAAATATGCGTATCGCAAATTTTCAACAAGGTGTAAATTGCCAAAATAATATTAAAAAATATACTACATGCAAGGAGTGAAGGATAACGGCGTATATCAAGTTTACAAGAACATCTAATAATCTAGAGTGTATAGAATAATATATTATCTATTTGACTTGAGCTCTTGCCGCAGGTCTACTAGCATACAGTTTTTCAATAATTGTTTTGTCTCCTCTTTTGCGTAAATATTTAACCTTAAATTGAGAAAACGTTTCAGAATTTTCAAAGCGATATCGTATAGCAAGATGGGAAATTATATTTCAAGCAACTTTATCTGTCAGCAAAGAAACAGGCGAACATATATTATAAAAGGCATTAATATTGGCGCGAAAAATAGTTAATACTTCGCGCAATAATACGATTGCTTTTTTCGATGGGTGGCATGAATATTGGGTAAAACTATCAATTTGCAAATATTTATCAGGTGTGTAAGACCTGAAAAGAGTTTGTAACGATTGTGGGCATTCATCGGGATTGACACTTTCCATAGAAACAAATAAGCAATTTGAACCCCGTGTCTATATGGGCCATTCCAAGCAAAAGTTGAATTCCATCAATTTTTTAAAAAGTGTAGTGAAAGTAATTTTTTTTTATTTTCGATACCAAAAGACATTGGAATTTTATTGGACTACATTCATTTCATCGAACAATTTAAAATTTCACCCAGGTTTTGGATGGTTTATAAAAAATTGCCTGAAATGTAGAAATTTTGGTATAATTGACATAATTTGTGATTATTCCTGACACAAAGTGTTTGATTGTGTGGTACAGTTATTTCATATGAAATTGACGCACTGTATTTAAGTTAATAAAGTTTGAATGTTTGGAGTGCTGTAGGACATTTCCTCACCCATTTAACGATTTATTACCAGAATATTAAGAGATGATAGAGGCCGCTATACCGAAGTGGAAAAATGTCCTGTAGTGTCACGTCTTGTAGTGTCACATACAATATGCACAATATTGGCATGGATTTACAATGTTACATTAAGTGACTTGAGCAATACATGGAGGGGTAGTTCAGCTACTGCACCAGAAAATATTATGGACTCCTACTGTACCATTGCAAAAATTTACAGCACAACACAACGTACTGTTAGTGCATGGTGGATTTGCCGACCTGTAGTGCCACGCTATATTTTACTATATTTTTTTTATCTACCAAGTAAGTCTTGGGTGTAACTTTTGTGCAATTTTTTACATATTCAATAAAGCAACTGATTGGATAATGAAACAAAACATGTAGCTGAAAATGTGAAAATATATTGCATCCAACAACATGCAAAATTTCTGGAATTGTCCTGTAGTGTCACTTGGAATAGCCCATATAGGGTTCCCCCGGAAACATCAAGGCTAATTTTTTACTGTTGGATATCGATAAATTACAATTAGGTTTTATCAACAAGAACGTAGAAGACATGATGGCGTCGCTAGATCACCTAATAAATATTTTACATTTCCCGACGCAAAAGAATCGAAATATCCTGTCAATAATAAGTAGATAAGTGCTGCAACGCCAGTCGCGGCGGCTGGTTTTTAAATTTTGTACCTTATAATGTACATGCTTCGATGAAATTCATTAGGCCGCATAATGTGCTAGCCATGAGATCGTTTACATTCTATAATTTTTGGAGCAACTTTTGCAACAGCTCGTTAAATTAAGAATAATTTTCCCGAGAAAAATCATTTCATCAGCTTCTGGAATAATTATTGTAAAACGCAGGCTTTAAAGTTTCAGCATGATGTGAACAGGTATCATAATACCAGTTCAAATAGTACCTGATTTAAACGTATGCATCAGGTTTCACACTTGCGAAGAAAAGCGATATGTGTTTTTCATACGGAACGTTGCTACGTAATTGCGTAACGAAGTAATTAGGGAACGTTGTTGTTTAACTCTCAAGTTGGCGCAGCGTACATGTCAAGAATTGGAGAACATTGAATGAAATAACTTATACAATTTTACTGGTGCACGATAAATTCTATCTAATGTCGAAAGCTATCTTTAACCTCTGCGAATGTGTCGATGTCATATTAGGTTAAAACAAGAACAAATCGAAGTTTTTGGTATTTAATTCGAAAGCTTTTCAAAAAAATTCCACGCTTTTCAATTTTACCGATTTTTGTATGATGATCGCGACATTTTATTTCTATCTCATAATTATAATTAGTCTCCTAGTTTGTTTCTCAAACAATATAAACCTTATCTGCATATAATATAAGGTTCGTGAGATATGAGAATTCAAAGTTGCATAACTCACACGGGGTGATAAGATAACTGTAGCAACTTTCACGAAACCACACGATACCAGTATGATTCTACGAGGCAAATAGCAAAGGAAAACAATGAAATTACCCAAATAAAATGCAAAACAGTAAAAAATCTTCAAACAAATTGACGAACGAGACCTTCTGGCTTAGCTAAAACAAACCGACGCTGCCGCGTTTAACCGATTCGCTGGACATAAGATGGCGTCCGATATGCACCATTGCACTCGGTGTCTCCACTTGGTTTATAGTCACTTTGATTATGATCAAACAATTCACGCACAAGAAAATGAATACGAACTGCAATGGCAAATAACCTATTCAGGCAAGGAAACTGCGGTTAACGCATAGACGGAGAATTTTATTTTAAAATGGAAGTAGGCAAACGAAGTCGCTTTCTGATGAATTCTTGATTTTCACCCCCCTTGAGCTGCTCCGTGGCCCCCGGTTTAGTAACAACTGATCTACATTCTACTTCTTTTTATCGTGATGGAAATCAGTGTGACTCATTTATTGAAACTTTGCCTTATTTGTTATCAAGTATGTTTGTGTGTCAATATTGCATTGTCAAGTTTTTCTCTTTTAGCTTTTTCTTTTTTGTGACTTCAGGCAAACATCCGCGTGTTATAAAAAAAAGCCCAACGGATTCTGAAAGATTCGATTCGAGATTCGATCCGAAAAAAAATGTATTCAGAATTGGCAACCCTAACAACAAACGTTTAAGAAAGAGAATTAATTCTCAGGCGTTGAAACTGTTCACTTTGGGTTCGAAAATATGCGATCTAAAAACATTTATTCGGAACTGACCATGTCAGCATTATATAAACAACAGTTCAGCTAACATCAACAGAATTAATTAGCAAAGAACAAGATATATCATTTTATTTGCTATAATTCGACCTTTCGTCCTACGTAACCAGTGACAGGTGCATAACCTTCTAAAACCAGCGCTTCATTTGATGTGAAGCATCATAAAGATACCCTGTTTTTCATTTATTCATCGAAAAAGAGTAACCGCTATTTCATCTGTGTAAAAACTACAAAACGGAGATGCGCAATTATCTAAAAGGCACGAAATCAAAAAACCTCGCTATTGTATTCATTGGAAAATAATGGGATTCGGCAAATAGAAAACTTACTGCGGCGTTCGAGAGCTATGAGTCAAAATAAGTCCGCGGGATTGAGTTTCGTCGATGTTAGTTTGCGAGCAAGGGATTTTTACGAACGGGTTTTGTTAGGATATTGAACTGCAGGTCCTTTCCTCTTGCTTACTTTCCACTTCGCATTAGTACGTGGTCGTACCGTAGTGAGGTTTATATAAGCATTGCAATTGTTGTACCTCAACATTTATAAGTGTCGCGGCAAACATTGAGACATCGTTGGTATTTGACGTCATCGTTTATCAATCGAAGCGTACCGTATTTTTCATGAATTGGAGTATGGGGATAATCTTGTAATCGGAGAAGTGTGTCGCACGGCATTTTGCTTAGTGCAGCAATGTGGACAATATTACCAGGCATACCCTACATAAACTAACACATTGGCGAATGGTTATGGCCATGCACCAGACTGAAAACAATTGTCCTAAACACAGTTTGGCATAAATAGGTGGCCAGCGGGAGCGAATAAACCAATTATAATGCAGAGTATTTGTGCGTCTGTAAATACTGATTGCCGCGATAGTGAAATACAGTTCATATTATCGACCGACGTACGGCTTGCAGTTACAGTAATAATTTGATGAAAAAAAATTGCCAGTCACTAGAAAGTGAGAACATTGTGAAATGTCTATCCATACCCATCGAAAAAACTTGAAGGGGTTTTAATATTTGTAGAACAGGGAGAGAGGTATGCCAATGAGACGGATTAATCACACAGAGTATCACGACCAAAGTCCGGTTTCGAGTTCATGTCGGGTTTGGTGTTAAACAGTTATCTGCAACGCGTATCTCACCTGGTCGAAGTTGCAGGTTGAGCACGAGAGCTTCTTCGATGTCGTCAGTTTTCGCCAAGTTCATCTTACTCTTTGCCCTTCTTAAGTCTGGTAATGTATGTAAAGACGTATATTTTATTGGACACGAAATCTTCAGCTAGATACCTTGGGATTTGCTAAAGTTATAACAGCCTGACCCCTTCGGTTCCTTAAATAGTAGCATTCTATCAAGGAATCACTAATTTCACGAGTAAAAGTTTGAATAGGGCTCAGTCAGTGAACATAAACCATGAGTCGCTTAATTTAAGAAAAAAAAAATTTAAAATGGTTAATGAAAATATGATATTCTGGCTCATTGCCGCAATACTAAAAGTTTTTGAACCAATAATTTTCGGATCTACCCATGACGCTAACACCAAAAACGACACGGTGTGCTCTAGAACAATAATTTAATTAATACTGTTGTTCAATATGATTTACCTGTGTACGTTTCCTCTTCCAATGTCACATGGAAAGGATGTACATGGATATCATTGTCGCCACTTCGAAAACGAAGTTGTAATGAGTGATCACCGCTAGAAGGCGTCTTGAGTGCCACCATATATAGAACGCACGCTTGCATTCTCAGATTGCTGTGCAAAATAGGTTTTCCATTGGATGGTTTGATATCTGCCGACCCGTCAATGGACTCAATGTGGGCGGTACATGTCTTCCGCGGTAGATCGACAGTGACGACACGATCGATTTGTTTATATCCATTACCCATTTGCTCCTCAGATTCCTTATTTGTATCGTCCAAGGATAAGACCACTAGCACGTATTGGTCCTTTGCGAGAATCTGATATTTGACAAGAAATCTTCCCTCTGAAAATATTGTGAAAATTAGTAATAGTATTCTAAAGTAAGGGGTGATATCATAATAGTAGGCCATATGAAAGGCTGTATAAACGGGCCTGTTTTCAAAGCATGTATGCATCAATATACATATACTTTTCGAGTAATATGGTCAAATGTCATTTTCGTAACTCAATAAATGAAAATAAAGAAATATACTTTCCACGCCCCTGGTAATTTGAGTACTAGGCGACATTTATCTACGGAGATTCTACGCAAATGACGGGCCGATCGACTATGGCAGAGGTCCTAAATGGGGCGGCGCACTAGTGTAAGAACTGCAAGTAAAAGTACACATTACCGATAACAGAAATTGAGTTTTAATTGAAGGCAGCAATATTTTTTGTGTTGAGAGCGCCGCGATTTTTTGCATGGAAATTTAGCGCAGTATGAACAAAACCTTAGTTTATTTCACGGTAATTATAGGATTTATTATTACAATATCTAAAAGATTTCATATCAAAATAATAAAATTCTAAATATCGAAAGTTTGTTATTATATTACTCGAACTCACCTTTTTTCTGCCATGATCGTGACATTCTTGAAAACATGCTGTCTGAGTAATTACATGCTATCTAAGCAGTGAGTACTGTAAATAAATAAAATGTGTAAGATATATGTTGCTTCAAACCTAGACTTCATCTTTGTCTAGATTCTTTGTATACCCGCGGGTTTCTTATTATAGCAGGACTCTAGAATATCCAGTCCGCGTGTATACAAAGAATAAATATTTCTACCTAGTTTGACTATCCTAACACCATGTTTTCCGTTACCATTTAATGGTAACTATATTGCTGTTGAAAGGGAGAGAGAGCTTTTCGAAGGCAATGTCAACATTAGCAAAAAAATTAAAAGCAATAATGAACAATGCAATATTAGAGAGGAGCATAGACCAATGTAAATGTTGTTTTGTGTGGGTCAGTATTAGAGCTCGACTTCTTGGCGCTCCCTTAGTATTCGTACAAAAATATTCAGGTTGTGCGCCATCTTGGTACGATAACCGACTTTTTAGCCTGGTCCGTGATAGTATGTCATTTTAAACCCTTATTCGACCAAATCAATTGAAAATTTTCGACAACAGCATCTATGAAAGGGTACGAACTATCCCCGAAAAGACACACACCCATGGCGTATGAAATTACTAAAACTATTGTTCTTTACCACAAAGGTTAGTTTAAATTTTCGCCCGCACTTTCATTTATTCAGGCGATCAGATACAAGCTAATTAAAATTCGGGTGTTTTTCAGCTCAAAATGAAACAGCAAAATTTTGGGTAAAATGTGAGGTCTAATAGGATTCAGAGCGAAATTTTTTGAAATCAAAAATTTCACTGGCCACTACTACGGAGAAATACTTCTTGTTAACCGTGCAAATCCCATAAAAGCGTGCAAAAACCATCAAAATACGGATAAAAGAAAGTCTCAAAAGTACGCCTCAGCAAGAGCCCCTGGAATTCGCTCTAATAGATGTGGCCGCTAACACCACGAGGTCATATTATTGAACAACGACCATATATTGAAAAAGTACTATTCCAAGAAAAAGGCGCTAATTCAAACGCGCCACATACAGCCCGACACGAGGTATCCAGAGGTCGCATGGAATATTTTGGGAAGTTGCCATTTTGAATGAGAGAGTTGTTTAGGTTACGGCAGAACAGAAACTCAAAGTCGGAGTAGTCGTCTACCTAGTCTTTCTAGGAAAACGATCATACACAAGATGCACTACTGAAAAATCAGAACGAAACGAGCTACTGCGCATACTTGTGGTCTTACTTGAATACGTTGCTCGATGAGATAAGCAAAACATATCATTGTGACTATCATTGTTTCTGTTACACAGGACATGTTTTTGATGATGAGGCGTCTTATACCTAACTTCAAAAATAATTCGGGAGCTAAACAAATTCTAGATGTTGTTATACATGAGAATAAATATATTAAAGGCCAAGTAAGAGTGAAATGTTCGTATTATTAATTAAATCATCAAACCAAGCAACCAATTCACCTCTAGAACGTGCTGTCCGGGGCGGCGGCCCTTATGGCTCTACACCAGGCCGCCATGGTGACGTATATATCGTATTAGACAAGGTAAAAAATGCCAAAGGCTCCGAATATTTCACGGTTTGGTATACCCTCGCAAAATCCATCGAAAAACATCATTTGAGACCTATTACAGTTTATCAAAATTCGGCGACTGATGTTCTACTGAGAACGTGATCACAAGCTATTCCGTAAATGTTATCTTACACCACGCAATACATCTCGAATGTACCTTGGTTTATAGTCACGTTGGTACGTAGTAACGTCCACGTCACGCCAGTCATGTGGTTGCTGTTTGCGTAGCTAAGTAATCAGTAAGTCGCGGCTAGCGAATTGTATATTTTTCTATAATTTCAGTTATGAAATAGTTTCGCAAATAATTTCAAATATCAACTAAAAGCCTGTAAACAGGTAACACTGGTAGTATATTCTGCACAAAAAAACAAGATTTTTGAGTCATAACTCACTTACAAGCAAGTTAGTTGGATCAAAATCAATTTGTCACTTTTTGACGAAATTTATTTTGAAATGTAACATTTTACTGACTGCGCGATAAAATTTACTCCCATTTGAAATGTCCGTCAATACACTATCCATAATTGGTCAAAAGTTATAAAAAAATGACTAATATTCGAATTATTTTATTGTCCTGCCGATACGGCGGCGCGAACCTTCAGGGCGAGGAATGACTTCGCTCAGAGACGTCAGAGTTAAAAGAGTTAATTGAAATTACCGCTGCGAATATCTTCCAGACCATTGTGAAATAAAATATAATATATATTCAATCAATTTACAATTCTACATGATTAAATTGTAATCCCTGGAATTGTAGTTGGCATAAAATAAATAATAAATATAAATGGTCGCGTATTTACGTTGAATGCAATTGCCAGGCTTGTCAATGAGACATATTTTTCTGTCCCATTTCCCATCCCATAGCAATTATGCCTGTACCATCACATAGGATTCCCATTGGAATAAAATTCAGTAAAAACAGTTAAATTTAGGTTTAGCGTCAACTAAATAGGACTACATGTACGAAGAGACATGCAAAACAACAACATTTACGGACTTTGTTAACTTTATATTCATAACTGATATAAATGTGTCCAACAGCCCCTTCACGAAGTATATTGTTAATGCTGAATATGTTTTGCTCTCTATAACTAACTAGAGAACTATGCTCAAATATATGGACACAAAATCCATAACGAAAAGTTTTACCATCATTTCCCCAATAATTATACGGTTTTCGTGTCCCATGGGAAATACGAATGTGTGCTGTCCCATGGACAGGCCTGGCAATTGCTCTTTCTTGACTAGCTGCACGCACGCCTGGTCCGTATACCCGCTAATGTAATACAGAATCAATAAATAGGATGAAATCAAGTACAATTTTGGGCACTCCCGCAGTGGGTGTACAGGTTAGGGTTAGTTAGGCCATAATTTTATTCCGATTTTCCTTATTTTAGTTCTATTACGAGTTCGGGACTGTCTGTGTTAGCCAAGTGAATGTACTATAGGTTTTAGTCCCTTTGCACAACTTGATGTGAAGTAGGCGAACAAAATTAGCTACCGCAATATTGGTACATGTACTTCTGGAGCGCCTAATTTTGGGGGTGGCAAAATATCGTGTAAACAAATAAAGTTAATTACATGAGCAAATTTCTTAATTAAATTTCTGAATTAAACTTTCTTATTTTAATGGGAACTGGGGCCGGCCGGACGAATTACACTGTGTAACACAATTTTTTGTTTCTGGTTTTCAGTTAATTATTATTTTCGAATTGTTTACACGCCAAAACTGAAGAAAAGTGACAAACATGACAATGAGTGAACGATGGGTGAATACATAGGCTACATATAGCGGTTTCGTGATTTCAAGAGAACTATAGTTAGAGTCTTCTTAGTCGCTTAAATTTTATTTAAATTGATTTCATTTTAATTTCTTAAAGGTTCTTGATATAGGATGCAAGGAATACATCTCTGGAATATCAAAAACACTTCAGTTTTCAGTTAATTATTATTTTCGAATTGTTTACACGCCAAAACTGAAGAAAAGTGACAAACATGACAATGAGTGAACGATGGGTGAATACATAGGCTACATATAGCGGTTTCGTGATTTCAAGAGAACTATAGTTAGAGTCTTCTTAGTCGCTTAAATTTTATTTAAATTGATTTCATTTTAATTTCTTAAAGGTTCTTGATATAGGATGCAAGGAATACATCTCTGGAATATCAAAAACACTAAAAACATCCCCAGCCTAAGTTATACTGAAAGTTTTACGCTGTTTTATATCACCAAAAAAAACGATTTGGGGGAAATCCCCTCCCTCCATTTTCCCAAACCAACATTTAAAAAGAATTAAGGTGATTCTCTCAATGTACATGTAAAAATTTGTGAGATGTTTTTTGCGACAATGAAGTTATGCGAAAATGAACTTTCAGGGGCACCCATGAAAATGTAGTTTTGCCGGAATAGGTTTTCTCGAATACACATTCTTTTCATCTCGCATGCATTTAAATCAGTAGCACCACATTCTCGTATAAACCTGTTTTCACATAACAGCATTTTCCTCAACAACTAGCCATTACATCTCCAAGGGCGCTCAAGAAGTGTATGTACCAATATGACGGTAACTAATTTTGTTCGCTTACTTTACGTCAAGTTGTATAAAGGGACTGAAACCTATGGGCAGGGGATATAATATTCACTTGGCTAACAAAGACAGTCCCGAACACGTAATTGAATTAAAATAAGGAAAATCGTAATAAAATTACGCCCTAACGGTAACCTGGCCCGCACACTACGGGAGTACCGTTGGACCCGACCAAAAAGGTAGGGATCAGTAGTAAATCTAAAAAGCTAGTTATCACATGTTACATTGACTAAAAAGATAGGGTTAGGGTATCAGTAACCCTAACCCTACCTTTTTAGTCATCTACTCCTGTTACCTACCTTTTTAGTTATTTACTACTGACACCTACCTTTCTAGTCATCTACTACTGATACCTACCTTTTTAGTCATTTACTACTGATACCTACCTTTTTGGTCATTCACTACTGATACCTATCTTTTTAGTCAGTTAGGTCCAGTACCCTTTGTCTAATTAACGAGTTGCAGATTTACTTTGCTAAACAAAAATTACGATTCAGGTCCAATCGAAAGAACACTAGTGGGTTTACTGAATTCAACTAGGTATTTTGGTTACCCCTCCTCTACTTTTTTTACCGCATGCTAGCTAGAAACATTCAGCTTTGAGACTTTCATAGCACAAAAGTTGCAGACTATGCCCCAACGTTTCTCAGTTGTGACCTAAATTTCACTCATTAACGTAAGACATACTTCATATAAATCATTAACAAAGCAAGCAAATGTCGGCTCTGCATCGGGCTGATAAGGCGGCCTAATCACATGACCCCACAATCGACTGTCATTCAGCAAATCTGCAAAAAAAATTGACCAGGGACCAAACCAATCTCGCAGCCGACATCCGATTAATGGCAACAACGAGAAGCCTGTATTTTCTGTGATAGCCTACGTGAGCATTCTTCACGGGTTTGAACGGCGTTAAATAACAAGCATATTGTGTCAGCTCGCGAACCTTGAATTGTGCAATTCAAAATGGTTTCCTCCATTTTTGTGGGTTGTTATTACGGACTGCAGACGTAAACTTAAGTTAGCCGCAAGTACTTATTTCACCAAGACATAGCAACATGCGATATCGGCCGCGTTCATTAAGTCATAATGTTCATTTGTTCAAAATTTATGTCCATATGTGGCTGATGTCCATACTCGTGGCTGAAAATTTGCACGTTATCAATACACACAAGTGTTTGGTTTTTATGAATACCGTTTACCTTGCGCAAGGGGAGTTAATATGAATGAGCTTATTCAATTAAAAGGAAAAAAGCTAATGGGGAACATACTGCATTGCACCAACTTGCTCGCTTGTAAATCCCTACAGTTGGGATTTATTTATGTCCATAAATCATAACAAACAGAACGTGACGTAACTGCAGCAAAAATGTGACATCACCACACACAAGGAACAGGGACATTTATCCGCATAACAGAAGTCGTGCCTTATTATGCGAAGCAATTTTAAATATTACCTTGCATGGTCGGATATAGCAGGGCCAGGGTCGGATATATTTTCAGAACACCATTTTGACAACGGAAACTAAAAATCTTTCTGCCAAAACCTTAAACTATACAAATGCAGTGACACCGGCAATGTTGCATAACGTTCTTGTTACTTTTATTTACATTGTAATTGATGATGGAAAAATAATAAAAATACAAATGAGCCAAGTATTTCAAGACAACTGTTTTCAATAATATGAAGTGCATATAATATACTGCTTCATGTAAAATCGTTAAAAAAAAATTATTATTTTATTGTTAAAGTGCATTTAGGCGACAAAGCATCATTCTGAAAACCGAGAAATTCACAAAGATTGGTAAGATTTCTCCATTGCCTGGTACTATATAATGTCACCATCTTGATTTTTTTTTAATTTTCGTTACAAAGATCAAAAGGCCAGTGTAGGCAAGAATAAACCATAATAAGAAACATGTTTGTAAAATGGCAAGTATAATCAAGTTGAGGTTAATTCAAATACAAAATTTCACAATAATATGAAAAAAAAATAATAATTTGTAAAAATTAATCCTGTATGGGGTTCAGGGGTTAATCAAGTAGTTTGAAGGATCTAGGAACCTAGCAAAAATAATAAATCGTTAACTTGCTTTGCAGAATAATCATAATGTGTACCACATAGAATAGGAAAGTTGATGAGTCTACTTAATCATATGGTGAACCATTGACTTTTGTCTCTTTTCTAGTCCAAGTGGGGTTGACTTTTGTCTCTTTTCTAGTCCAAGTGGGGTATGGGAATATTTAATCAGTTATTTCAGATACATGGATTGGTCAAATTTGACAATTAAAACATATCTGAGTTCAATAAGTTAATTCCTTTCTGAAGACTTCAATCTTCACAGAGTAAAGTAGATTCAATGAAAAGTAAAAGAGAAGAAAAATTCAAAGTAAAAATTTGGTATTACTGGTACATAATGGAAAAGTAATAATCAAATTTTAATATGTACATGTGCGTACTAAGTAAAACTAGGTAGTTATGCTTTTCCCTGAGGTGTTGATAAATCAGAGTCAGATTTTCGATTTTTGAACCACATATTTAAATTGTGATATATACAATTAATATAAGAAACTGTCTTCTACAACCACCTTTCATAATTGTTTATACTGCTGTGTGGAACCAGCTGCTCTTATTTTAAATATATGGTTAATATACCGTATTTCGCATCGTATAGCCTACAAAATACTCTGTCATAACTAATTTTAAAGAAGTCCAATTCATACATAAGTTTAAGAGCAGTCACAGTGGTTCCCAACTGGGGGCCACAGAGCAGTAGAAGGGGGCCACAATGCTAGGTGCAAAACTGATTTTACTTCTCTCTTTACAAAAAAACTCCAATCTTCTCAGTTTCATTGCTTTGCTTGATAAGGTTATTTCGTGGGGTCTTTCCACTTTGTTGAGCATGAATTGTTTGAACATAAAGGGATTGGAATCCAAAAATCAAAATAACAATATAAATCCCAGTAGAATGATAAACAGGGGGGCCATGCCCATGAATGCAAAAATTCTTCGCAGAGGGGCCATGAGCCATAAAAAGGTTGGGAACCACTATTTTGGAGTATTGAAAAAAACTTCTGAGATTAATGAAATCACCATCTTATAACTTGACATTTACTTCTTTTTCTGCCACAGAGCCGATGTCAGGGGATGAAAACTTCGCTTCTTTGATTTCTTGATCTTCAACTGCAACATTTGTTCCCATCATGCATAAATCTGAATTTTCTGAAACAATTGTTTCAACTTCTTTGGCACATGGAAGATCCAAATGTTTCCCGATGAAACCAAGAAGTAACTTCAAGTTCATTTCATTTGTGATTTCAGGGTCGGTTGGGCCTCTCATCCCGATCATTTTGGCAATGCAGGATATTCGAGGGAAAAAGCCCATATCGGTGTAGGTCATGTGAACCGCTCCACGAAGCGTGACCATTTTCCTTTCCGCATCAATGCCTGTGACATCAGCATCGAGTCTTCGCATTCGTAAAACTTCTTTTTTGTCGATGTAACCATCTGCATTGATATAAAGCAGTGGTTTGTTTATAGGTATCTTGTAGTACTTTTGTTCCAGGGGATATAACCAAGCATCCATTGCCACTGACACTTTGATTCGACTTTCTTTCTCTAACGCTGCAATTGTGGTTCCACCTCCAAAAGAATGACCAATGATTGCACATTTCTTCACATCAAGTTTATCTTTAAAAACAGACAAATCGACATCTTCGGACAGGACGTTGTGTAACGTACCATTGTTTAGTTGTTCCACGCAATTGATAAGTTTCGAGATATCATCAACTCTCTGAGTGATTTGCTGATATCTCAGTTCCTGCTCTTCGGGCGTTTGCATCTTAATGTGCTGAAATTCAACAGACTTTTCTTTATATCCACCATCAGATTCTTTTTCAAGGTAAACTGATGCTGAAGCTGATTTGTCTTTATGATCGACTGCCGCAACAAGAAATCCACGAGATGCAATTTCACTCGAAAGAAAAGTATGTGCATTTTTTGATAGCCCAAGTCCATGAGATACAACAATTACTGGCAATTGTGAGATGTTCATTGGCATTTCAAGTGGTCCATTCCAACGCACAGGAACAAGTTTGGATTTTAGGAAGCATTTCATAATTTTTGAAGCACAGCCACCACCAAGAAGTCCGGCAAATCCATTCAAATAGGTTTCGTTCATCCAAGGAGGGCATATTTTTTTGACGGGTTCAAATTTTTCAGTCGGATAGAAAATGCGGAAAAATGTGCTGTCAAGACCAGTTTTGTCTAAAATATCGACACAAGCCACAGCAGAAGGTCCAGATGCTCGAGGTATACAAAACGACATTATTGTTATTAAGTTTAATACTTTGATAAATAATATTTCTGTACCGGTAAATGAGACAATAAATTATGTATGAATCTATGCAACACATATCTTACAGGCCTAAAGTACAGGCCCTTTTTTATACCAATGCTGCAATGGATGAAATAATGGAACATTCATGCAGTTGATACCACGTTATAGAATTCCACATGTAATAAAAACAGAAATGAATTACATTGCTAACATTTGCCAAATGGAATTGGATATATATTTCACATGATCAAATAAGTAGCACAAAACATGAAAGTATGCAATAGGTCCAGACTCTAGTGACTCATACTTAACATTCATACCTGTATCCTGTCATATGACCTGTACTGATATACTGAATATATGAAAATCGCCCAGAACCACTATTATGATCCTATGCATCTACTGTTTTGTTACCGTATTCTGCTACTTTTTATTACTCACACCCTCACAGGTAGGTGACAGCCTGATAAGCCTATTATACAGAGTTTCTGATTAGGCTAGTCTGCTAGTAGCATTCTTCCTGTTTCAGTGTTTATAGCAAACAGCTGCCGTCACGTCATTTCCGGTAACTAACAAGTCCGGTACCGGTACCAGTACTTGCAGTCTATTATGGTGGCTGTGTCGTACCGGTAGTCGGTAGCGGTAGGCCTATGTCACTACAGCATTACTGTACGGTACGATACCGGTACCATGCAGTATTAACATCTCAAAAGTAAGAACGTTTGGTTTTCATCAATTTCTCTTCCTTCTCCATTTCACAACTGTCTATGCTAGGATTTACTACAACCTTTATACTTGATAAAGCACAAAAGCCACGTCTCATAATCTTCATAACAACTACCGGTACACATTCCAACAACACGAGATCTCGCGCAGCAATCTATTGATCTGCAATCACAAGACTTGCACGAGACATAAACATGACAAAGCATTTCCGAAGGATCAGCTGATGTAATCGCACGTATGTAAAGAATGCTCCGTGTAGAATATTTTTCAGTCTCGCATTTTATTTATTTGTACGCCTGAATTTGTACTATTTTTTTTCTAAGTAATTTTCTTTCTATTATAGATTAGTGACGTAAAAGGCACTCCGAAGAGTTCCAGTCCTGGGGTAGGGAATTCTATAATCTATCTAAGTCACTGGTTCTCAACCAGTGGGCCATGGCCCACTGCTGGGCCATAGAGTCTTTTAAAGTGGGCCACAAGCCTATCAAAAATTATTATTATTATTATTGGAAAGTTTAGTTTCTTTTGTGTCATTATAGTCAAATTTTTATTGTAGTAGCAATGAATGATGCTGCTACTTTTCATTCTAATCATTAAAGTGAAAGTATTTATTTTGGAAAAAATAGTCTTGTTTTTCTTGTAGTTTTTCCCTTGCATGAGAAAATTAGTGGGCCACGAAAGATAAAAGGTTGGAACCACTGATCTAAGTCAATACGACACAACTTGTTTAGTAAATAAAAATATTCCCGGCGTGATTCCCGGTCGACTTGCGCATTTACCAAAACACGAATATAAAAAAACTTTGCATTGAAAGCCAGACAATTTCAAATATATATATATATTATGTCATTGAGAAAGAGAATTCATTATTTCGTCAACCAGAAAACACATGATATAAAATATAATGACAACAAAATAATTGAAACAAAAGTTTTCGGTATGACTGGGAGGTAACGATACGACCATTTACGGTCATCTGAGTCAGTTACCACCCAATACAACACATGAATAAATACATCAAATATAAGTAAAACCCCAAAATTTCAATCTTGAGGCGCGTTTTCAGATAAAAGAAGTATGCCGATAAATGTTGTAGGCCTAATTTAAAAAATTGAACTCAAATTAATAGATATCTGTTTTACAAATTGATAATTTTGTGTTTACTGGTCTCATCGATCACTTCTTAAAGCTAAGTTCATGAATTGAAGTTATGCTTCCGGCCTGGCAATAGCAAATGAGATACAGCTACGTGCTATTCATTCCTAAAATAAAAGAATCATCACGAGACTCGCCAAAGGGTAGGTATTTTATAATTTACTACGACACAAATAAGATATCAATTCCACCGCGTACTTTCCGGCCATAAAACAATTTGCGCACGTTTCGCTATTTGAAAATACCAAAACATGAATAAGAGCCTTAATTAAAAGTCGAGCAATTTAAAATAAACATATGCTATAATTCAGATAAGTACTACCACACAACTTCAAAATTCAGACGCGTTAAGAGATATACCGTTGAATTTTATAAACGAGATGAAAATGTGAACTCAAGAGAGAGAGAGAGATTTATTTTTTCGTCAACCAAAAATAACAGTCATCGTAATAATAATAAAAATAACAATAATAAATAAATTAGTTTGGTATAGACAGGAGGGAGTGATACGACCGGATGGTCATCAAAGTCAACTCCCCCCCTTTCAAGCTATTATGTTTAAGATCCACAGTTTCAGATGACTAAAATATTGGGGAGGAACATTCTAGAATTTTAAATTATATTCTCAAAATAGAAGAAAAAAATTGGGGAGGGGAATGCTAGAGTAAATCATTTTTATTTATTTATGTGGAGCGGGATTTCAAAATCTGAAGAGATTCCAAAGGTTACTGAAAGAATTTAAATAATTGGATTGGATTTTACATATTTATCCCGGGGGAGAGGAAAGCCGATAAGACGGCTTATCCATATGGCGAACCACGGCCTCTCGTCCGGTTACCATTCCAAGTCGGGTATGGGATTAGTTTTTACTGTATTGTTTGTTTTTCGGAAGCATGGACTTGGGAATTGGTAATTTTTACGCATATGTGATGAATTAGCAGAAATGCTTCATTTCAAGGCATAGGTACGCATTGAAGATGAAACAAACATGATCTGCTTTGATTTGTCTAGATTAGGAGGGGGAAAAAATAGTTAATAGGACCTAACAAGCATTATTTCAGCATAATAATCAACAATTTTTTGCTTGCAGAGGGATGTCAAAGTAGTATATAAAAAGACAAGTGAAAGATAAATAAAAATGTAAATAATTATAATAGTATGAGTTGATGTAACAGCAAAATATAATGCAGTATCGTAATTTCATTATCACAAAATATGAATATAAAAAGCATCATTGACGAGTTGTACATGAAAAGGAGTGGAATGATTTCTGGGGAATAGTACCAGATTAGTATATCAAGTCAAAGGGTCTCAAATGTAGAGCAATTCAACCTAAACACAACTGGCTTTTAACATTGCCAATTGTGTTTGAGGATTTATTTCAATGTTAAATAATTGAAATATAATAATTTTTTTTATGATTGAGTAAATAGTTGATTTATAATGGACACTATGATTTAACAAGTGTAGAGATACGAAAAATTTTCACATTTTAACAGGATGTACTATTGAGTTGCTAGTACTTCACTGCTATAATGATTGAATATAAGACCAGGAGGAAATTATTCAATGATGCCTAGAACCACAGTAGGCCCGAACGAGTTGTATAATATATACAGGAAGTACTCAAGACATGTATGCTCAAAGAAGAGTATAAGCTTCAATATACTATACATACCGGTAATATATATATTAATTTACCTAGAACCCGTTCGATCAGATAAGAAAATATGATATAATAGTCATACAATTTGTAATCATGAATTTCAATTTGAATGACAGAAGTACAATGTTAGGTGACATCTCTAATTATATACACTTGGAATAATACAAAGTCTAAATGATCTCTACTATACAAATATCATATTCCAGAATATGAATGGTGAGAGATTTTTCATTATTGTTCTGACTGATCCTTATCAATTTTTATAATCCATATTGCCCACATATAGGGGCAAATGTCCCAGTTTGGTATGGACTCAATGTAGCATTTTTCATCAGTATATACAATAATAACGATTTAGGACGTATAGATGCAAGTTTGAACACAGAACCTTGGATGCAGCAATTCATATCAACATATACAATAATGATTTGGGATATAAATCCTTTAGATTGGATTAATAATATAAATGCAAGTTTGGTTTAACATAGAAAATAGAACGCAGCAATTCATATCATCATATACAAATTGGAATTTAGTGTTGTAAATTCGTAGTTCGTTGTAACGGAAGTCATGCCTTTTGTCTGGCTACAGCACACAAAATTGAGTTACGTGTCATTCATTCCTAAAATAAAAGGGTCATCACGAGACTCGTCACATGATTTACCGTGAGGCTATAGGATATTGGGTAATTTTGCTGATTTTGGTTAAGTTACGTGTTTAGACTTAAAGTCATACTAATCTTAAAATTAGAAGCAATCTCTCAGTCAGAAAATACGTAACAATTAGACGTCCTGTAAGGTACGATGACGATAACGCGTCATGCCCTAAGGATACCAAAACCAGCATAAAAGCGACCATTCGTTGGGAAAAAAGGAACGATGGACAAGTAATTAACGAACTCGGGCTTGCAGTGAAACTTTGATTTTATGTGACTTATCAGTCATGACTTGGAACTATCCTTTGTATTTGTAAATATACAATTGCAATATATGTATTCGGAACCAGGATTATGTCTTCTTCATAAGATCAGATCAGAAACAACAGCAGTACAGAAATAATAGCAAAAATACAAATGTTCCCTAAAAATGGTGACCCGACAGACGAACCAGCGCCTTTCTGAGATGGAGTCTGAAAAGCAACCGTTGGAACTAAAGGTGACCCCCAAAAGACATCAACTCCACAAGCAAGCCGAGGATAAAAAGATCAAGGAAAATGAAAAACAACAACCAAACCAAGATTCAGACAGTATGAAAAATCAAGGAATTACAAGCGAAATACCAAAGACTCTGACAAAAAGAAAAAGACTGTTAGATTTGAAATGTGTATGAGATTCACATTATATGAACTATGGACTGTTATAAAAATATGTGTGTAAAACATTCATACTATATGAACTGTTTTACACCAGAAAAAAAACCGTAAAATCAAAAACTAGTCTTGACTACAAAAACAAATGAGAAAGATATGAAACGAAAAGAACTTC